AGTACTCTAGTGGCATGAAGCCTTCGGGGGAAACTCCTAGGTTTTTCACTATGGTCCAGATTGACCTTCTCTCTCCACCATCTCCCTCTCATTTGTGCTCTCCTCTCCCTTCTGCGAAAAACTGTTACTTACACATTTGGGCCCTTGGACATTTACTCTTCCCACAGGACATTTTCAGAATGTCAATCAACAACTGAATGAAATAGAAATAAAGGGCAGGAGAAAGTTCTAGAAACAGGAAATGATAAGAATCAAGGACAGAAACAACAATCTAGAATATTTTATAATAACTTAAAATTATGGCATACAGCCTCACTACCATTCTTGTTTATCATGAAATGTCAATCAGGAGAAGAGCAAGGTGTCCACATTCCATGGAAGTTTATATTTTCCTCAGGGTTCCAAAGTATAAGAGTAATTTTATAAAGAGTCGAACACAGGAGCAAGAGACAGTTTAAGTGCACAACAGCTCATCTTTACATCTTGAGTGCCTTTATCACTGTGCATATAGTTTGAACTCTGAAGCAAATTTAGCATTCAAACTCTGAAGCATTTGAAGTTCAATGTGCTACTGTAGTTGTACCATTTATCATTTTTGGTTTTCATTTTGATTATGTAACAAAATAGTTAATTTCTGATAACATTTTCTTTCAGTTTATTAATATAAAATTTAAGAAATTTATTAAAGGACAAATTTCATAAATTTGTATTATTTTGTGACAGATTATTAATTATATTAATGAATAATAATTAAAAATAACTATTATCTTATCCTCTTTATGGAAGTCATTTAGTTTTATGATTGTAGATTAATAACAGGATGAATTATTTTTATATAATAAGACATCTTATTTTAAAAGTTGATAATTCAATGATTCTAAAAAGATATTTTTTTCCTAATTAACAACTTTAACTAATTAATAATTTTAGTTTTCAAACATATTTATAATATCCAGTGCTGTGGAGTCGGAGTTTTGGTGTTTTAGTCGGAGTCGTCAAAAAATCGCCCGACTCTGACTCCTTTTTACTTCCCGACTTGTAATGTATATAAAACAGAAAAGTATTGGAATCGTGTCAAATTTGACCCTCCAAGTTTCTTTTACAAACCTACACATTTGGAGACCTCCCGAACCCCTCAAAAAAGTCAATAAAAGGGGAAAAATTGCGTGTGTTGGCATCTAATTTGTTTAATTTCTTTATTTTCTGTTCTGAGATATTAAAGAATATCTCAATATCTCAGAATGGGTAAAGTTTAAGAAACAAAATGTGGCACTGTAGCTTGCGTATAAAGGAGCATTAATACTATTAAATTTTGGTTCTTAATTAAAGGTCGACAGGGTGAAGACATAAAGTGGTCATGTGTCATATCTCTTAATGAATATTTTACTTGTTATTAGCGTTCAAAATTTAAAAAATAAAAAAAATAAAATAAAACTCGTCTCTACCCTCAAAGTAAGCTTTTTTGTCATTTTATAATAGTACAGTAAAACCTGTTAAGATGTTTTCCCCTAAGATGCTAGAATGCATATGGGAACATGATTTAGTTCAACCACTTTGACACTTAATAACTAACTCTTGTGTTAAACCATCTGACTCCGATTCTGACCACTCTGACCTCAGAAATTATTAGGCTTCAAACAGGATGAACAAAATCATGCCCCCCACAGTCTAACATCCACACATATAGAAAAAACCTCAAATCTTTTGTATATCTCAAAATTTCAAGGTGTCCTGAGTCCAGAAATGTAAAAATTTGGGAGGGGTCATTTTTTGACCGAGTGCTACACTTTCCCTCTGTTATATATAACAGCCAGAGAAGTAAAAATTATCAAATACATATTTATATATTACTTAGAGGAGTCTTATAGCTTTAGAATAAAAAGTTTCTACATTCTATCTTTATTAGAACTCTATTTATTGAATCTTTTATTCTGAGGTCACGTGATGACATCCAAATTTCCAGGTCTCTTTCAGTAACAAGTCCTCTCCTGGTCGGAGTTGGAGTTGGTAGATTTTTACATGACTCCACAGCCCTGCCTGTAACAGTCATAAGACTTTTTATTAATTTCTTAGTAACAAGTTTTTATTACTTTTTTAAAAAGATCTATAAATTTAAAATTTCAAATGTAAATATGTTTGAAACAGCCATTTTTTTTTATGTTTAAGTTTTAATAAATCAATTAAAGTTCTAATAAAATTTTGATATGCCCATAAAATTTTAATAAAAATTTAAATATTGTATTTTCAATATCTTGTTTAATTGCTCTTAGTAATTAAATTATAAAGTAGTTTTTATGTTTAATTTCTTTATAAAATATATATAAAATGCACATTAAATTGCTGATATTAATAATTAAAAAATACATTATGAATATAGTTAGTTCCAGATATCATATTATATCAATTGCTTTAAATCGTAAAAATTAACTTAACTTTTAACTGCCACATTACAATTTAGATCCTTAAGGTACTAGTTCAAAAAATTTTGCAGAATTTGAAGTAATCTGTCCTGACCTGTTGTCAATAAAATGTGGCATTTATGTAAGAGAATTTTGATTACAACAGAAAAAATTTTACTTTTTTTTTATCATTCAATACTAAATAATTACCATTTTCTTGTTATAAAATTTTTATAAATTATCTTTTACCTTTGAAAATATTTCATATTTTTAAGAGCAATAAATTCATTATTTTATAAATTAATTTGACTAAATTGATCTATGATGATTATTTTAAAATATTTTTCATAAAATTTAAGTTATTAACAGTAAATGTTCTGATAAACTGATTTTATTTTTTCATTTTATTTATATAGACTTACAAAATTCAAAATTTTAAGATTAAAATAATCAAAGACAGAAACTTTTAATAATAGACAGGTTGCGGCCGACATTTTCATCGCGAAAACGTATACGTCAGACGTTCAGCGCCGCCTTCCTGTAAGCCTAGAAGTTTGACAGTGATGTTTGGAACGTCAGTGGAATCATGCTCGACGTACCAAACCCCACTGTCAAACTTCTAGGCTTACAGGAAGGTGGCGCTGAACGTCTGACGTACACGTTTTCGCGATGAAAACGTCGGTCGCAACCTCTCTAATAATAAAATTATATCCATATCTTCTTTATCATAAGGATTTATGTGAAAAATATGTTCTTTTAATTTAATTTTTGAAGAAATTATTTTTATAAATTGTGCAATTAAATTGTGTCATCATTTCAATCATGAGATTTATTTATCTGTCTAGAAAGATAGATAAATAGATCTCATGATTGAAATTCTTCATTGTGAAACAAAGTAAATAAATAAAAATAGTTATATTCAATTAATTTGTTTGATAAAAATCATCTTTGAGAGTTTAATTGTGAACAAATAAATGGAGAAATTTAAAGAAAAAAATTGTTTGTGATTTATGTTGAGAGAAATGAAAATAAATAAGAACAATGTTTCTCTCTGAAGTTTATAAAATGAAAAAGTTAGCTCACATTACATATTATATTATCACAAAGTTTACACCAAATAAACCAATGAGAAATGATATAAAAATATAATATAATATATAAAAATTAATTAAAATACATCATTTCAGATACTTTGATAATGTTATGATGAATTAGAGAAATATTGTCTTACAATCTTTCAATAAAGTCTTTATCTGTTAATGAACTAATAGTGACTAGATTAAAAATTTTAGAAAATTATTAAATATAATGGGTTAGTTAATGATTAATTAATTTGATAATAAATATAGTAATAAAGTAAAATTAATGAATGTCTGAAGAGTTCTGACTTGGTGTTTACACAGCATAACTAGCTTTGTATTCAACATATTAAATGAGGGTTGCAGATTAAAATTACACTCTAGACTATTTTTCAAAATTTAATTCAAATTATTTTATCATTAAAAGTACAAGTAATTAGTGAGACTTCTAACTGTAAGTACTAAATTTTTCAGTCATTAAATTATTAATTAGTCAAATGAAAGCAATTTAGGCAGATTATTAAGTATTTAATTTGTTTACTTATGAAATTAAATTTATAATACTTTTCAATGACATAATTTTTGTTTTTACTGTTTATTCTTTATGGGCACTAATAAGGTCTTTTAATCATATCTGTTGTGAATTTAGCCAGGCCTGTAATGGAGGCAGCCAGGTGGCAAGGAATGTGACTTAGTGTTTTTGGGACATACTACTCATGAAAAATTCCTAGGCATTCCTTCGCTGATTTCATCCTGGCCTTCATAATGACAGGCTGATATTTTTACTATTTCAGACAACACAAATTTTTATGAAATATTTTTAAAATGTCTGTTCCTAAGTATTGCAGTTAAATTATAGATTAAAAATCATAAGTATTGGATTATGTTATTAAAAACCTAAAATTTTTTAAAACAATTTGATGCTTACTAAGAAATATGCTTATCCAATTTGTAGGCATTGTGTGTTTAAAGTTTATTCTAAATTTTTTCCCTCTCTAAATATTTCTAAAATTAATTAATTAAATTTAGTGTAAATAACAACTGTGCATACTCCAGTAATCCAGTTACTTAAATTATTATTGATACTTGTCTAGCCAGTTACTTAAATTATTATTGATACTTGTCTAGCCAAAATATAGCATGCACAAAGAATCAAATATTAAATCAAACTTTTGATTTAATATATTTGATTCTTTGTCCATGCTATTAATATTTAACACATAAAAATTATATTAGTATCTACTTTTATTGCAACTAATTCTAGATACTGTATTTACGTTTGCATGAAAGTATCTGTTTTTATATTTTGAAAGAAAATTTATTGATAATTCTAAACATTTAATTATTGATGGATTAATTTTATCTTGATTTATTTATACTGTATAATTTTAATGATATAATTTATGTACTATTTTTAAAAAGTTCTTTGAAAATTTTTCAAATAATTTTAGAAATTTTTTCTATTTCATTATATTTTGAAAATATTATTTACTGTGCACTAATGTAAATTTCATTATATCAGATTGGTGGAAAGAGAGGTTTTGCACCAACAAGATTTATAGAAGAAACAAAAATATTAAACAGACACTTGGTTGAAGTTCCTTTAGAGGTTTGAGTTTATTTATTTAAAAATTGTTTTGTTTATATAGTTGTTATAAAAATATATTTTATAAATGAAATAATTTTTATAAGTTATTTATAATATTTATTTATAAGCTATGTTACTTTCTGAATAGAAAATAACATAGCTTTTATCTTCAATGTGATCTTTATTTTAATCTTTTTGAAACCATATTAATGTAGCTGACTATATATAGATTATCTATATATATATATATATCTTTTAAAACTAATAGAAGGTAAAGATAAATCTAAAAATAATAATAAATTTTAAGTGTTAAATTTGACAACTATTATTTCATTCTAATATATATATATATATTTCTTTTTTTCTCTTTCAGAAATTTGGTTGGAAGCCAGTTTCAAATAAAGCAAAAGATAAGTATGAAACAATTCCAGAAGAAAAAACGCCACTTTCATCTGATCCTAAAAATGATGATATTGTATTACAAGGATCTACTGTGAGTAGTAGTACATCATTTTCAAAAAGTAATATTCCTGATGATGCATTATTGAAAAGTCCAGAAGCTACAGCAAAAGAAGAAAACTTTAAAGAATCATCATCAGATGAAACAATTACTGTTGAGGGTGTGTGTGTGTGTAATACATAAAATACATTTTAAATAATTTCTTTTTACTTCAAATTTTATAAGTTTGAAAAATTTTAATGTATTAATAATTCATTATATTTTTGTTATGGATAAATATAATGCTGCTTTCTTGCCTGACACGCTAAATGAAATTTGTGTAGTTATGAATTTATCAATTTTTGAAAGTTTAATGCAATCTTGATACTTATAAAAACATATCAAAACTATAAATATAATTTCTTTTTTAAATTTATTTTGTAATAATAAGAGTTTAAAAAACTATCCTCAGCTTAAAATAAGTTAATGAATTGTTTATACTGACAGCTCACAATCTGAGAACCTGGTGCAACATCAGAACACAACACTCATCCTGCAACATGCAGAGATACAAAAGAAAAGTGCTAGAATTTTAAACAAAATAATTTTATTTACTAGAATAAGTTAAATAAACTAATTGCAAGCAAAACTCAAGTCAGTTATTTCTAATTTGGATACATAACAGATATATAATATCTTAAGTAATTGAAGTTAAATAATTAAGCTGAGTAAGAAATGTCAAATTGCTAATTTCAGGATTGTTTAGTTTTTTAATCAGTCAGCATAATTGTTTAAGTCAATCCAGAGAATTCAATTATATTTATCCATAGAAATCAAATGATTAATGTGAATCAAATAATAAGATATATTTAAAAATTCTAATTTCAATGGATCTATACATTTGATTTTAATGTTGTGTAAATTTATAAAACTAAGTAATTAGAAAAATTTATTTCTTAACTTATTTCTAAATTTGATTTCTGTCTTTTTTTAAAAAATACAAAAATAATATGTTTATTTACATTTTAATATAAGAATTTTTTTAAAATAGATTTAAATAGATACAGCATCATCAATAATAAGATTTCAAAACGACAAAATGAAATACCAAGTAACTCGGAACAAAAGACAAGTACTTCAGGCAACGGACCACAAATAAATAATGCTCATCAAGAACTAAATATACATTCATCGACAGTGGCTGGTAATGAAGAATCATTTCATTCTCAGATTTCATCATCACCTAGTATTTCTGATCTTAATTCAGGTACAAACTCAGTAATAAATGCAAAACAAAATTTTGATTCAAATATGATAACAGAATCCTTCATTGTAGGCAGATCATTGTTGTCTACAAAAGAAGTTCAAGAAAGCTGTACACTGATAGAAGGAACTCATATTTGTGAAGAAAATCCTACATTACCATCTGAATCAAATTCCATAAATGAACAAACACCATCTATTGTGGATGCATACAACTCTCCACATTTACATCCTTCCACGCTTACTTCAGAATTAAATACTATTTCTAATGATGCACAAACACCTCATTCATCTGATAGTCATATAATTGAAACTAAAATATCTGAAATGCATCCTTCTTTAAATAATCCAGTTTTATCATCAGATATTCTGGATCAAAGCAAACCCGTTCAGCAAGAATCAATTGAAAAAAATTTATATGCTACTCCTAGCATTTCTATTGAAAACAAACAAGAATCAACTCTCATTGATAATACAGTATCCAATGTTTTTGTTGAAAACAAACAAGAATCAACAGTAGCTAATGATCATAATTCACAAGAAATACTTGAAAGCAATAAAGAATCTGTTTCTTCTACTAATCTTGATAAAGTAAATATTGAAAAAGAAACAGAAGAAATTTCTATTACTGATTCGAATGATATAAAAAATAAAATGGTATCAGATTCACTTAGACCTTCTGAAAATACTGATTCCAGCAATAATTTAGAATCTGATATACTTGTTAATACAAATGCAAAAAAATTAGACATTGAAGATACAAATATTAATTTTATAACTAATAATTCAAATAATCAATCTATCTTTTCAAAAGTTGTAACATTTGCTAAAAATGTTTTCTCCACAATTGGTAGTGAAAAACCTAAAAGTGAGCTGGATATGGGTAATGAGGAAAATAATTTTGAAAATGAAAACAAACATGATATCGATGATGCTGATAATGAGGAGGAGGAAGAAGAGGAGGATTTGGAGGAAGAAGAAAATTTAATTGATAATAGTGATGATAATGATGAAACTAATGAGAATAAACAAGCATTAAATGATTTAAATATGTTAAAACCTGAAATAAAGCAAGTAGATGAAAATGATATTAAAGAAATCAATCCTTCAGAAAATGCTGTAGACAAAACAAATGAACAGATCAGATCTAATGTTGATATAAAAGAAATAAAAAGTGATGGTAAAGATACTCTTGATGATGATCATAAGACTAATTTAAATAATAATTTTAATCAAGATAAAAAGTATGAAGATGCTACTAACAAAGATTCAGCTTTACACAAAGAATCTGTTGAAATAAGCAGTGTTAAAAAAATTGAAAATTCTAAAACTGCACCTTCAGAAGAAATTAGTGATACAGTTACAAAAGCAAATGTCAATGAAGATTCATCTAAAATAGTGACTAATATAAACAATGACTTGGAAATTAATAAAAAATTGGAACTTGATTCAAATAAGAATAAAAAGACAATAGATGACAAAAATATGAAAGAGATAAAAGAGGAAGATGTAAAAATTCATTCTAAACCTGAACTTGAACAGAATGTTATAAATGATGAAAATTTAATAGCTGATAAAAAAGAAATTAATAGTAAAATTACTGATTCTTTAGAAAAGCCTTTTATTCCTGATAAAAACAATGATCTTTCTGACATAAAAATAAATATTCCTGTTGAAAATAGTGAGCCAGCTTCAGATGAAGACCTAAATCAAAACATACCTGTTGAAACAGAAGATAAACAAAATATTATTAAGAAAGAATCTACAGTGTCTGAATCTAAACCTTCATTAGAATCTAGTTCCAATTTAAATGATATAGACAATAAACTAGACTCTAAAATTTCTAATTCCATTCAAAGTGATCAAGAAAATAGCAAATTATTGGAAGAAAGTGATAAAATAAAATTTCTTTCCAATAATAAAGATGATGAAAATTTAAATGATAAGTTTCAGGATACAGTATTTATCTCAGAATCACCACTTACTTCTAGTACAGAAATGATTGACAACTCTGATGAATCTGGTTTAAACAAAGATATAACCTTTAATTTAGATGCAGGCAATGAATCTCAGGATCTGTTAGCAAAATCAATTGAATTATCAATTAATCCAAAAATTACAGATGATTATTCTTTAAAAAATGATTATAATCAGTTATCTGTAAAAGATGAAAGTATTCAGTCTGATACAAAAGAGCATTTGCATAATGTTGATATAGACATGAAAAAAAATATTGAAACAGTTAAAGATGAAATGTTACCTTATGATGAAGACGACATGATAACTGCTTCAAGAATAGAAACAACAACTCGTTCAATTTTAAATTATAATGAAGAGGTTGAGTATGAAAATGTAGAAGATGCAACACAAAGTGCCTTTGATGTTATAAATGAAGAAGCAAAAGAATATATTGGATTCCTTCCATTCTTTTTACAAGTTATTATTGACATGGTGAGCTGACTTGATTTATTAATTTTTTACTTACTATTGTATTTTAAATAAATATATAATTCTCTAATAAATAATTTTTTTTTATTTTTAATTAAATAATTTTTAAAATTAATTTTTCAATATAATCATATTGAAAACTTCCAGAAAATTTTAATAAAAAATGCCTCAACTATTACTTTCTATAATTCATATCTATAGAATTTTATTTAGGGAGTTTTTTAATATTTTTAAAAATTTTTGAATATGGAAGTAGATATATAGTAGATGAAGTTACCTTGATGGTGATATGAAACTTATAAATTTCTTTTAAATAGTTGCTTTGTGCTTATTTTTAAAAGATTATTATTTCTTTTTCATGTTTCAATAGATTTTTATTTTTTCTATATTTTTAAAACAATGATAATGTCATTGCTTTTTAAGTTTGGTTTTGTAAAAAATATTAGAAATTAAAAAAACAGTGCTTTATTCTTATACTAATTTAACTTTTTGATGAGACTATGTCTCATCTCTAAAACTGCACTGCCATCAATGGCTGCACACTTTAGAGATATGAAGGAGTATATGTCAGGAGTTGCAATTTGGTGCCCAAATCCAATGCACACACAAAATAAACTAGACTTGTAGGTAGTCAGAGGACTGAGAACGGGGTCAAAATAAAGTACAAAATACTGAGACTGTTTCTACAAACAGGCATGTGTGTAAAATTTGCACACGCATTGCTTGCACTCTCTGAGACATAGTTTCGTCCCAAGAATGGCTTTGCTGTTTTACTTATTTTTTTAAATTTGAAATTATATTTAGATAATAAGATTTACAATTGTAATAATTTTGTTTTGTTAGTTACCTGAACAAATTCAGAAACAGTTTTCTGAGTGGGAAATCCAAGGCCTTTCTCCAAGAGTTACTGTTATTACCTTTATTACAGGTGTTTTAACGACATTTGTATGTATTTTTACTGTTTATATTCAAGTAAGTTATATTTCAAATTTTTAATTTTTTGATTGTATAATATAATATATTTTATGAATCATATAACTTCAATGAGTTATTTTTGTGTAAACCAAACTATCTTAGTAACATAATAAAAAAAAATGTGCATAATACATTTTGTGACTATATCATGCATACTAATAATTGGAGTCTCAACATTTGTTTAACCATGTTTACAACTAGAAAGTTTGTATTAGCAATAGAAGTATCAGTATATATTTTTATTAATGTTTTTTAATGAGTCATCAAACAATTCTTTGGATTATTACTTTTGTAGACCATTAAAAGTTCTGTACAGACTAATGACAAGAAACAATCCTAGAGAATAATCAATAATAAATGAGTTTATTTTTTAATATTAAAATTAAAGCTTATTTCATAATTAAAATGTATGAAATACAGTAAGATATAGAAAGAAATACAGAAAAGAACTATAAATGTAAATAATAAAACAACTTTAAGAATTATAATATTATCACAAAAATTTACGTTGATTCACTTATTGATAACTGATATTATAAGAAAAAATATATAATTTAACTTTAGCATTATACTTAATTTTGGATTTTTGTGAAGAACTACACTTTTAAAATTTTGTGAAATAATTCATTTTCACCTGAAAGTTATATGTGTTATAATTTTATTTAAAGTTTGTGTCAGTGCCAGTATTAGTAATAAATATCCTTTATTATAACTTAATTTTTTTTTTTTTTTTTGGTTAATCTGAAATTGTGTTGTTATTCTTATGTTTTTAAGAAACATGTAATTTTTATCTATTATAATTATTAAAGTTTTTGCCAGTATATAATGTGCTTGTTAAATAAATTAAAAATTATTGTAAATTTTATTTCCAGAGAAAGAGTAAAGAATCTTATCTCATAGGTGAGTTTAAATTTTAATATATTTATATAAAATCACACACAGTGTAATTCTATGTGCATTTGAATTATAATTCTATATGAAAACTTTGCATTTTAAAACTTTTATATTTGAATTTCAATAAGTGAAATTTGGGTGAATTGAAACTTTTGTTACTTTATGAGATTACAAAGTGTAAAAGATTAAAGTTGTCTTTTTCTTGTATATAAAGTTAAATAATTTAAGATATTTAAATTAATCATTTTCATTTTATGAATCATTATTTGTCCTTTAATTAAATACTCACAAAATATTGTAATATTGGTTGTTTGGAAAGTAATGTCTTTTTTTTTTTTATTTTTTAATGAAAAAAGCAATTTTCTTATAATATATAAATATTTTATTGAATTATATATTGATCATTTTGGTCCAATACCTTTTGTCATTTTTCTAGTAGTAGCATGATTCCATGCTCATAAAAGTTCTTATATCTGCTTAAAAAAAACTGATCCAAGTGATTTTTGACATCCTCATTTGAAGTAAACGTTTTACCATTTAAAAAATTTTTTAAAGACCGAGACCAGAACAAGTAATAATCTGAGGATGCCAGATCTGGTGAATATGGTGGGTATGGTAGCACATCCCATTCAAGCTGTAACAGCTTCTGATGAGTTACCAAATGAGGTCTGGCATTATCATGGTTAAACACTACACCTTTTCTGTTGATCAATTCTGGTCTTTTCTGTTTGATGGTATCACTCAGTTTGTCCAGTTGATGGCAGTAAACTTTTGAATCAATTATGGCATTGTCTGGTAGAAACTCCAAAAAAAAAAAAAAAAAAAAAAAATACAATTCTCATAATCTCACCATACAGAGCGCATTATATAACAACCCAATATATAAATCTAAAATTTATAAAAATATTCATAGCATCTATTTGTCATTTTTTGAATGCTAATTTGATCTATAATCCTGATTTTAAAAATCAACATTATGCCAATATTAAATTCTAACACATTCATGTAACTGTAACATCTTTTAATAATCTCATAACATCATGAATTCTTATAACATTTTATAATAATCAGTATTATAATTTAGCAGTTAAATGAGTGTTAAAAATTAAAAAACAAATTTATATTAATATTGTCAATTACTGGTATTATTACCAAGACTGCGGACTGCTTTCTATATCCAAGAATCTAATTTCTTATTTTCCTTTCTGAAGTTTATTAACTTTTTTGTCTTTATAACATTTTTTCTGCAATTTGAAACACTTTCAAAATTGTTATGGACTAGTTCTTTCTAGTTAAGTGTGTAATTTTTACTTTGCCTTATGTACTGTCAATATATTTTCTCAGTGTATATTTCATTAACACTTTTTAACATCACATTTATATATTGATACATCAGTCTTTTCCTTAACTTCTTTCAGTATGTTTTCTACATATTTGATCATGTGTTAATTTTTTCTTTAATAGCTATTATTTTACATATTTCAAGTTTTTCTTATATCCATCTTTTTGGTTTTTATTTTGTTAAAAATATTTACAGGTTTTTAATAAATTGTTATAGTTTGTAATTCTTATTGTTTTAATTTAAAAACATGTAGTAGCTCAAATTAAATTCCACTTAAGTTTTTGGAAAGTACAATCTAATTTTAAATTAATTGTGTCTGAAAATCTGTTCTTTCTTTAATACATTGGGTGATCATAATTAAACTTTCTATATTTGGTGCTGTTTAAAGAAATACTTAGCATTCCAAATCCAATCAAATCTGATATGCTGACATTTCAGATTATTTCTGTAAAAAAAAAAAAAAATAGTACCCAAAGCACATTACTAAGGCACTTTTGATGCAGAAGATAGTGAAAAAACAAATTTGTCACATAAGCACACAAAACAGTCAAGTTTTGGGTATAAAAGTAGCTACAAGTTTTGAAAGTTGTTTTTATCAGCTCTAATGATCATTTTGCCAGAATGCCCACTTGTAAACATGTTATATGTGCATGTACAATGTACCACAGTACTGCTGCAACTGCACTTTGGAAATTTTGCCATTGTAAGAATTTACACCAAGGACCACTGAGTACACAAGCCTTTCAGGAGAATAATCACTTAATCTGTGGAATCTGGACATTTGGGAGTTCAGTTTCCACAGATGTGTTAAGAGTACAAATCTATGATTTCTCAATTCACTGAAGTGTTACCATAACTGTTGTTGAATATTCAGTCAGTGAATAATATTGCAGACTCCAGTAGCACATGTAAAGTGCCTTATCAGTTAGGTGTCTTCTATGACAAGTGTAGAAGGTACTTAAAAAGTCAATGCATTGTTATCTGTATAAGATCAGCCATAACAAGAGTTGCTTGCTGCTGACAGGGAAACTCAACTTCTTGATTCTTGCATTGACCTTTTCATGCCAAAATGAAAATGGATATGTTGTGGCCATGGCAGATCCTGTGCAGTGATAAGGTACATTTTCACTTCAGTGGAGCAGTCAACACTCATAATTGTTGATTTAGGCCAGGGGTCAGCAGGAGTGGCTCTTTGCATAGATGTTTGCGGTTCTTCGGACATAAACTCCAATTTCACCTCATCTCAAGCAGCCTTATAACTTATGAGTTTATGAGATAGAGCTATCGAACAAACTTCGACTCGTATGTCATACTCTCTATCACTCTTTAGCCTGTCTGCACATGACCACACTCACGTTGATCAATATGAGTTGCATGTGAGCGGTAGCATTTGAAGCATATCTACATATATATATATAAAACCCATTGAACATGTGTCCATCCATCCATGTAACATTATGCCAAAAATGGCCACTAGAGGTGCCCCTGTTGTGTGTTGTATTTCACACATTTAAATTAACAATATAAATTATTATGCTTCTAAGACAATAAAGTGCTATAAATTAAGACACTTGGCAGATTTTCTCATCTTTATTTAGTTGATAATAGTCGACTAAATAAAGATGAGAAAATCCGCCAAGTGTCTTAATTTATAGCACTTTATNTAATGATTTTTTGCTAGCATATAATTGAATAATACAAGTTAATTTTAAATATATTAACTTTATTATTTTTTTTTCCAGAATCAAAATAATGAACTACAGAATAGTGTTGAAACATTAAGTTATCAGTTAGAGATGTTACAGAAGAATGTAACTAGTTTACAATCTTTGGCACAAACAAGAGAGGAAAAAGTAAGGAAATTTCATGAATATTAAAACTTTGATGCAATTATATACTGTTACTTCAACCAAACTCAGGATTCAAATAAATTTCAAGTTGAAAAGCACAGGAAATGTGTTGAAAGTACTGAACTATATAGAATAATGCAGTTTAGAGTGACCCTTTTTAATGACGTTTTCATTAAATACATTATGCATTGTTTGCAGACATTAAAAAACTGAATTAATGCAGTATTTTTAATGCCTGGAAACAATAAGAGGCCCTTTTTTCCCAGCCTATCACAGGTTCATCCAGGCCCACAATTGGTCCTACAAATGAGATTTAGTACAAATGAAATACAGTATGCTCTCTAAATGCCTAGATATACCAAGAGATGCTCAACACTTTTGTTAGCTCCCAATTGCAACACTAAAATGTCTTGAGTCAACTATATTTGTTTAAGATGGAACACTTCCATATATTGACATATTGACACTCCATTTAGCAGGTCCTGCAATATTTTATCAATAACAAAGTATTTTCCTATGCATACATTTCTTATTATATGGTCATCTCATTCTTAATCTTTGTGATTTTTGATTGTGAGGTGTGATTTATTAAGTATGTTGCAAATTTGGCAATCTTGAAAGAGTATCACACTGCATGTGAGAAGCATCATAGAGGATTATCTATGGTCAGCCACCGAACATATTTTATCACTTTCACATTTACACCTTCAGAATGAAGACCATGTTGAATAGTATTTTCTGCATTGATAAGATCTCTGTAAAGCATGAGTGTTTTATACAAATAAAAGGTTTGTTGCTTGCAATACCAAAAGTGCCATATGTAGTGTGTTTTTGTACCAATTTTGTTTATAGAAACATCACCATGTCAGATTTGGTTGCATTTGGATTACTAAATCTTAGTCTAGACAGTTTTGAATAGGGATACTTTAATTATAATCATCCAGTGTAATAAGAACTTAATTTATAGAGCTGATATTATTATAAACTAATCAAAAGTAAACTAATTATCAGCAACTTTGTTATTTAGTTAGTTATTTCGATGATTAATCAGCAAATAAAAGTTGACTAATTATTTTCAAAAAAATTGTATGTAATCAAGGTAAAATTTAATTTTAATAATTACAATGAAAACAATTATATTTTCTTCACATTTGTAAATTTGTTGTTAGTTTTTATATTATTGTTAATATTTTTATTTTATTTTTTTTTCATAACAATGAGCACAATTTATATATTTTTTTTACCATTTAAATTGGATGTTATCTCTTCCTTTTAGGGATAACCTATGTTTTTACCATTCTTTTTTTCATTTCCTTCTGATATATGTATTCTGTTATTATTGTATTGTTTGTATTGGTGTTTTCAATTTTTATTTCTTATAAGCTTCTTAAATATTTTTTACATCATATACTTTTTCTTGACACTGGTGACATTCTTTCCAGTGTTGTTTTAATATATTGAGCACAATCATTGAAATCTTAAAGTAACATTTTAAAAATAACACATATATTTTGGGAAAATTTAATCATTATTTTTATCATCTTAAGATATACTGAAAAACATTGATCTGAGAACATCATCATATATATGGATCAATATATGGATATTTAGCATATCCAAACTTTTAGATAAATTTTTCTACTTTGGAATAATTGAATGTTGAAACAATACTGAAATCAAATATTNAATTAATTTAATTTTACTCTTTAATATTTTTTTTACATTTGAGTAACTGAAGAAAAAAATAAAATTATGTACAGACTTTTTCATTACAGATTTGCATAATATTTATTTACATACTTATAAACGTAAAAAAATTGCAGAAAAAACTAGATTAGCTGGATTACATACTTTTATGAAATAAACAAGTAAAATAAATCTAATCCTAAAACAATTGTTAAAAATATAAAATGAATTTTTATTTTATATTACTTTAGTAATCGATCATTTATTTCTGAAAACAATTTAATGAACTTAATGGCAAAATTAGAGAAAACCATATATATATTTTTGAATATAATGAATATTTTATTGAAACATGGTGTAAAATATTTCTCTCAATTTAAAATAATAATTATATTTTAAAAATATGGAAAGTTTACTGGAGTATAAATTTTGAGCTACAGTTCAATAGTGCTAAACCTGAAATTGCATTGATATTATATTTTCTGCATATCCATTTAAAACAGAAGCTACCACTTCTTGATTTGATATTAGTCTGAGATTTCTAAATAAAAATTTAATAATTTATTTTTTGGTTAATTTTTTTTTAAATTAATTTTATTATTGATTATTTTAGTTTTTATTATAATGTATAATCCTCAGTTTTAATGTGAAAGATAAACTGGTATAACATTTAAATAGTTTGAAAAGTTTTTGTATTTACATTTTATTCTTCTAATACTAGATCTTAATTTTGAACCCTTTTTTAAATACATATAAAGTAAGTTTGATATAATTAATGAATGTATTATATGTTTGATAAACTTGTATTGTTATTTTTTTAAATCTTTAGACAAAACATTTCTTTTGAAACTATAATTACTTTTGATGCAATCAGTGCATAATCTGACTAGTCATTGTGATTCAACCAGTCATTGAAAGTTATCTGGAGGATGTTTAATGCTTTATGGCTGAGCTGAAAAATGGTTGACATGAGAATTTTGTTATTTGAGGTTATGAATAATGACAACATAGAACTTTTTCCGGTGATAATGGATGATTTACCTTTAAAGAGAGTATACAAATGTTTAATTGTAACTCATAGAAAACAAACAAACAAAATTTCTTAACCAAATAATATTGAGAATTATGTGGAAAATGTAATTGCATGTTATAATTTTTATGAATTTGAAGTTTATTTTCAGATCTAATTACTCTTTTATAATTTATGGTAACTGATCTGGAGAAACTTTAATCATAATTTACTTATTTCTATCTGAAAATTTTAACACGACTAACTTATTACTGAATGCTGCCATCTTTAAAGTATGTCATATTTTCAAGATCTGGATTGTCTTTTCAACTAAGTCAAAATTTGTCTGTCACTATATGCTTGCTTTTTATTGCTTAGTGAAGCAGATTCAGAAACCTTGTGCATCAGGTTGTATACTGTATGCATCTGTTTGTGTTCATATTACATATAAACTGATTTGTTTCAATTCACAAGTATATTAAATTTGCCATGAAAAATAGTATTTTACAATATTAGTTTATATTTAGAAATTTAATTTCTGTTGGAGATTCAATTTCATTTTTTTTTCCAAATGTAAAATTAAACATTAATTTTTCTTATATAACTAAATAAAATTTTTGTTGAAATTTATGATAATTTTATATTTGTTTAAGACAGAATTGTGTATTCAAATATTTGTTGTTTTTTTTTATATTGTGTGAATTTTTGAAAACAAATACATATTTTGGTTACGTTTTTGAAATCTAGAAAATTTGGTTAGGATTTGGTTTGGCCAAATTTCACAACTACTTTAATAATTTGATAATTAAATTAAAAATTATAAATAATATAAAAATATATAAAAATGGAACTTGAATTACAAAATATTTCAACTTGAAATGATTGAATTTGCTCATCAGGTTTGTTGGAGCTTTTAGTTAAAGTGCCATTCTAAGCTGACATTTTCTAGATCATTTTTTATTTTAATTTAATTTAATCATTTAAAAATACTTCTTATAAATATATTAATGTTTAATGCCATTTATTATTATGCCACATTAACAATACATTAAACATATTAAATTTGATATTAAGTCTAATATCAAATTTGTTTAAAAATTCATGTCATTGAAGCTTAAAAATAATTTTGTAAAATCTGGCATTTTTTATTATTTTAATTTATAAATATATATATCATGATTTACAGTTTAAATTTAATGATTTTTTGCTAGCATATAATTGAATAATACAAGTTAATTTTAAATATATTAACTTTATTATTTTTTTTTCCAGAATCAAAATAATGAACTACAGAATAGTGTTGAAACATTAAGTTATCAGTTAGAGATGTTACAGAAGAATGTAACTAGTTTACAATCTTTGGCACAAACAAGAGAGGAAAAAGTAAGGAAATTTCATGAATATTAAAACTTTGATGCAATTATATACTGTTACTTCAACCAAACTCAGGATTCAAATAAATTTCAAGTTGAAAAGCACAGGAAATGTGTTGAAAGTACTGAACTATATAGAATAATGCAGTTTAGAGTGACCCTTTTTAATGACGTTTTCATTAAATACATTATGCATTGTTTGCAGACATTAAAAAACTGAATTAATGCAGTATTTTTAATGCCTGGAAACAATAAGAGGCCCTTTTTTCCCAGCCTATCACAGGTTCATCCAGGCCCACAATTGGGTGCCCAGCTAATGAGGAATGGAGCATGATACATCAGGGACCAACTATTACTGAAAAATTCCTAAGGTTTTTCTGACCCTTCTGTATTTTATTCCCTGACTCCAGTCAATAGGCTGATATTTTAACTACCTTGACCATTTATCCAAAATGATGAGTTTGAATCAGAAGATAGTAGTCAAGATTCTGATTCTGACAACAACATCAATGTGACCACAGGGTCAGCACCTCCTTGTCATCATGTCAGGACTGACATTGTGTACATCAGGGCCAATAGTCACATTTTCACTCATTGATTCCAGGTGACAAATTCGACATGTCATCTTCAACAAGGAAATAAGTCCATGGGAAATAGTTTAATTATCTTTGATGATTTTAGCAAAACAACTTTAACAAAAAACTAAATCGAACAAAAATTTCTTCACCAAATTTGGCTCTCACATCAAAGTTAGACACACTGACAACATAACTGAATTGGGTTAACTATGAAAACAGTATTCATTTCAAATGTTACAGCTATAATCTGTAAATTAAGATAAGACATTTCTTTTCATTTTTACATTCTTGGTCCTGTTGAAAGGTAATAAATCCTGACCTTGAAAAACCTCAGGTTATCAAATAAGCTCCAGGGATACATATGTTTTTAAAATAAACACCCAGGGTTTAGTCAAGGTAATTTTCAGGAGGTCTTTCAATTTCATAAAAATTAAGCCATTCCTACTACCTTACAGGGGTTTCCTTCTACCATTCCTTCTACCCGCTGAGGAGGGACGAAAGAGTCTGAAATGCAAAATTATGTATGTGTCCAGGTATATTAAATAAAATAAAAAATTATTTTCTGTGAAACTCTGTAGCATTAACTGTAAAGCCAGTATAATAAGTCCTGATATTAGAAGATATGTACTTGTAGACAAAAATTTTTATTTCATTCCTTCTACCATTCAGGCCATTCCTACTACCTTACATAACTTTAGAATTTTAAATGGTACCTTTCTATTTTTTTCTTTTTGGATCCTTGATTAAAGAATAATAATAATAAAATTTTATTTAAAACATACATTTTTTTTTCAAAAATGTTAATTTCAAAAAATTATGAATATTTTTAGTTACATTTTCAAAAATTAATAATTAAAGAAATGTTTTTTTTATGATCTAATTTATTATAACTAAGATATTTAAATATCTTAGTTACAATAAATGGTGATTAGAAAGTAATATATTAGGATATATCATTTTATATTCTAATATGAGAGTTTGAAACTTATATAGAGGTATTATATCGTATTTTAGTTATATTTTAGGAAATTACTTGGGAGTTTTGGTTTGACAATGTATTATAATTTTTCCCATTTAAATTAATACAAAATAGACTCCCTGTTAATGCTTTATTACAGAACATCCTGTTTTCAGAAACTGATTACTGAAGTTAAATGGTATCAAGTAATTAAAATAATTGTGAAAATATGAAATGTAAAATAAACTTTATTTCATTATATTTAAAATAGTTTTATTGAGTTATATTTTCTGTGAACGTACAGTATTATTTTTTTCTGTATAAAAGTCATATAAATTCATTTCGTGTTAAAGTTTTTTCTTATTTGTATATGTTGTTTTTAGAATGTAGAATTGATGCAAAAATTAGAAGAAAATGAAAAATTAAACACAGAAATGGAACAGAATTTGGAACAGGTTTGTATAATGATATTATTATTAAAAATCAGGAGTTTAATGTTTTAACTCATGAATAATATGTCATAGAATTTTATTTCTTATATTTTATTATTTTGTATCAGTTTGGATTTTTTTGTTTGTTTTGCTTTTTGCAAGATTGTTAATTAAATTGAGAAGAACGAAATCATTTACGAAATGACTGAAATTTAGATTTCAGTCATTTCGTAAATGTTATGTATTGAATGTATCAATGATTGATTTTTTAGCTTGACAATGAATCTGTAAGACAATATGAAAAATTGTTGATTGTAATATTTTTGAAATCATCTTTGATTCTCTAGTCTTTAATTCTATTGAAAATATCTAGAGGCTAATGAAAACTATATAGGAGCTTATTTTAAATTTAAGATAGAACTGATAGAAACAATTTATCATGTTTATGAAACAATACACCACTTATTGAAAGATACCTTATAGAATACAGTTTGCTACTTGTTCATAGGATTGTTTGGCCAAATTTTAATATTCAAGTTACACTATACTAGTAAATTTTTTGTAAATTAGCTGTAGAAGAAATAGGCTTTTAATAGAATATAACAATATCATGTCAATACTTCATATTCAATTTTATTTCTTTCATTTCTGTTGTGTATTATGTGTACATGCATAAGAGGTGTTTATATAAATCAATCAAATTTTTCAAACTTTTCAAACTTGATGTTGATTGAAAAAGTTACATGTATTATTTAAAATCATATATATATTTCTAAAATATTAATCTTTTGTTGCAGAAAATTAATTTACAAAAAATATTAAAATAAAAAAGTGTAGTGTAGCATATCATATAATTTTTTTACATTAAATTTTGTGTTACATGTGAACTTTTAATAGTGATGATGATTGAGAAAATATATATTCTATTAGCATACCAAAATATTAGATACATGTTAATATAACTTTGTAATTTTTTAAAATTAAATTTATATACAGTGGTGCCTCGTATAACGTATGCCTCGAATAATGGATGTTGCGAACAATGGATTTTCTGTTTGGCCGTTACATGACTCAAGCAACGGACTGGCTGCGAACAACGGACTTTTCGTTCGGCAGTTATGTTAGGCAAACAACGGACTTTCTGTGAACAAGTGCGAATGATGTTTCCACTCTTTTGCCGTTGCCAATGACAATCTGCTATTTTTATAATATATTAGTATTATTAGAATATATTATTAGTATATCTGAAGTACAGAGCTCTCATTGGGATTCGGCTTGCTCCCTTGTTTATTACGTACATCACCTCAGTGCAGGGTATTTACATTTATTCAAGTGTTGTGCAAATCATGGCTTCTAAAAAAACAGAAAGGTGATTTCAATTGAAACAAAGCAAGAAATCATCAGAAGTAGTGAAAGTTGACAGAAACTTCCTTGTTAAATGGGGAGAGGTTCAGGAGTTTACCAACACTCATTATCCAAACAGAGCTGAGGCCAACAGGATCAATGATCTCTACAATGATACCCTTGCCCGTCATTTCCGACAGGTGTTGAAGAAGAGAAAGAAACAGACCACTTTGGACATGTTTTTCAAGAAGGCAGCTGCCAAAAGACAAAGGATGGAACAAGAGGAGTTGACCTTGCAAGCCCCAGTAGCCTCTCCTGAATCTGACTCCAATTAAAAAACAATAAAAAGAGACCTGATGCAATGTGTAAAAAGTCTGTATCTGTATGAATGTGTGAATAAAGTGTTCCTCCACCTCCTCCTCACAACATCTGACTACCCGGCATAATTGGTGACTGCTCCATTTTCATTTTTTTTATGGTACAGTACGGTTATTTTATGCTGCAGAACGAATTATATATTTTAACATGTATTTCTATGGGAAAATGGGCTTTGCATAATGGACTTTTCACTTAACGGATGTTCACCTGGAACGAATTAAGTATGTTATACGAGGCACCACTGTAATTGTATTAAAATTATAATAATAAGAATTACTTGCCAAACAATTATTTACTTTAGTTTCACTTTGTTATCAAATTCTATAATTTTCTCTTTTCTTTTTTTACTTTTTAAAATTAATATTTTATTATAAATATTTTTAAAGCTTCATCTAGAATTATCCAATGAAAAGGAAATGAATGAAAATTTAAAGTTAACAAATGAAGACCTAAGTACTAAGTTAAATCAATTAGAAACAAATTGTAAACAGTTGTTACAAGAAGCCCAGGTTTGGAATGAAAGGCAAGAAATAAATTTTCTTATTTTATTTATTGTCTATATTCATATTCTTGTGTTGCATTATATCAATATCATTGTGGAAAGTTAAGAATGTAGTACAGTCAAACCTTGGTTTTGGAGCATAATTTGTTCCTAAAAGCTATTCTAAAAACAAAACAAATTTTTCCATAAATGATATACAATGGATTAATCCATTCCTGACCCAGAAATAAAGTCTTTTTTACTTTTTTTTTAGCTGTATTTCATGATAACAATGACTACAAGTGCAAGGTAATATTATATATAATAAATTTTTATTTAATTTAACTTAATCACCTTTAAACACAAATTCTTGGATGCCATTTATATTAGGTGAATGTCAATTAACATGGTTTTTATTAATTTGATTTAAATTTAACTATGGTGCATACCAAAAAACAGAAATAATATCTTTCCTGCATGTGCATTGAAATCTAATTTGAATAACATCATTGATGATTTTTGTTGTGGCATCTAATGATGCAGGCAGTCTCAGCTTCACTAACTTCTGAATCACTCTTCCTGTCACTGATTGATTGGGCCATCAACTTTCTTTAACATGGGAAGTATAAGGAGTTGACCATCTGTGTCTCTCTAATCTGTGGTCAGCTCCTGCTGAGTAACTTGTATGGCAACAGAGTCATTATATGGTAACTGGGGCAAATATGCATTTGAAATTCCTTCATGAACCAATTTGTTCAAAAAGTGAATTGTTTGAAAACTGAGGTTTGACTGTACATTAAATATTTAAAAAACTAACTCAGTTGACTAATCAGTTCTTACATCAATCTATTAAGTATACAGTCAATACATTATGACTGTAATAGGATGTTAATCTCCTCTTGTGGCCAAAACAGCCTGCATTCACTGAGGCATGGATTCTAAAAAGATCTTGGTGGGTTCCAGTTAAAGCTGGAACCAAGATGTTAGCAGAAGAACCTTCAGTTCTTGCAAATTTTGTGGTTGAGGTGATGCATCAAGAACCTGTTTCACCACCTGAAACTAAAAATGCTTCATTGGATTCATGTTGAGGAAATTTGGAGGCTATAGTAATAATTGGAACTCTTACTTATGTTCTGTGAAAATGAGTAAGAGTTCCAATTATTCTTCCTTACCGTTCTAGTTATGTGATATGGTGAATTGTGTTGCTGATAGAAGGCATCTTCATCTTGAAGGGATGTGTTTAATTTGCAGTGATGTTCAGATAGGTGACATTCATTGGAATAATAGATCCAAGTGTTTTCCACGAAAACATTTCCCAGACTATCATATGCCCTCTGCCAGCCTGTGTTCATTCTGTAATATATTCAAGTGACAAGGTCTCATGGTAAACATTGCATACTGCCCAACTGTTCAATGGTATAACGTGAATCATGATTTGTTAGACCTTCAAAATTTTTACAGACAGTTGGATAGCATGTAACGTGAGGATATCAGCTAAGTAAGTCAATTTGGTGAAAAATGCCTGTGAAAAAACTAGTAGGTGTGGAAAATTGCTATTACAATATGTGATTGCAGGTCAGTAATAATAATATTAGCCATGATATTTTGTTTAAATATTGTGCTGATTGGGATTTAAAAGTTGAAGCATAATGTGGTATACTGAGAAAAGAGCTACGAATGTTGCTTTCAAACTAAGTTACTTGGAGAAAATATAGCAATGCAGCAAAAGGATTGGCTACAGAGTAGTGATGTGCTAAGAATATTTATTCTTTTTTACATAAAAGGAATTTGAAGGGGTTTTTTTTAACTAGTGGCCAGAAACTTATATACTGGCTTCTGAAACACTTGCTTGTGTAATAAACACAGATTGTATTTTGAAGAGATGCATAACATTTTATTATAATTGTTTACATCCCACTTGCTATATATTTGAGTATACTTAAATTTTAACTTTTCATTCTCATACGGCTCAAAACTTAATCTGGCTGGAAATTTTTGCATACATTGTAACTCCAAAGATCTTCATATGTCATTGTGTATCTGTTTAAAAAGTTCATTGCATTGATGGGCAGTGATCATAATATTTTAGTTGGTTGTTGTGTTTTATTTTATTTGTTTAAAAGCATTTAAAGTATTTTTTATAAAACATAAAACAAATATTGAAAACTATAGTAATTTTATGTAGTTTAAGATTTTACTTTAAAATTTTTGATATATTATTTTAAACGTTTTAATATTAAATAAGAATGTTTAATTAACTAATATAAAATTAGACTATATGCTAAATTGAATTTGATCTAATTAAGATAATAATGTTTCAGGTAAATGTATTAAAAAGTAAAATTTAAATATTAAAAAAAGGTTTAGTAAGTATAATGTTTTAAAAGTGAATACAGTAATACTGCGACTTATGTGAACTCGGAGTTATGCGATTTTCAAATCTCGTCGATTCGTCTTTTGTTTGAGTGCCACACAACTCTTGATTACTCACTCCCCCCACACTATTGTTCAGCTTACATGTTCGGACATATAGCGCGGAATCGACACATAGCTACAATTTATTTTGTGTTATTTATTTCTGTGTTTGTTATATCTACGGAGACTTGAGGACTCTATGTGGTGATTTCTTGTAACCATGAACGAATCAAAAGACGAGACAAGATTAATGAGAACATTTATTAGCTTACATACATCTGACTTGGATTTCACACAAATTGCAAAATTATACCCCGTCTTACGCGAATTCAACTTACGCGGTTATCTCTCGGTCCCACCTATCGCGTAAGTTTGGGGTATTACCGTATATGGAAAGTTTACAAAACAACCAATTTAAAAATTTAAGAAATACTATTCTGCATTGATATGCAATGTTGACAATGCAGACTTAAATACATTTCAGTTTAAACAGTATCAAATTTTATTACTATAGGTTTATTGTTTTTATAATAAAATTATTTTATTATTAATGTTTATAACAAGAGTTGTTAAAAATTCAAATTTAACACAATAATAAAGTTATAAAGAAAGAGACCACTTTTTAAAAATTGTTTATTTTAAAAAGAATGTTTTCTGCTCTTCTAGACCTAGCATCAGTTTAACATTTCACACTGACATTGCAATAAATGCTTACAGAACAGCTTTTTAAACAATTATATTTTAAAAATGAGCAAATGCATTTCAAAATTCTTATATGAAAATTAGTTATATTTGAATTTTAAATAATAATAAAATATGTAATAAGTTATTGAAGCATAAAGTTCATTTCAAATAAACTATAAAGTTTCCTGTATAAGGATTTCAATTTCCTTAGAAAAGGCTATCTTATTTAATATATGCTTTCTATAATCATGTTATTCTTTTGCATTGTTGAAATTTAATAACTTTTACATATTTAGCTAGCACATTATATATATATATATTGTTAAAGTAGGTAGGAGTATTAAGAACTTTTCAGGTGATGTTAAATTAATATTACGATCTGTAGATGACATGTTAATTATTTGGAAAGTAATAATTCAGTAGGGTCATTGATCAAATTAACAAAAGATAACTTTGAAAGAGTAAATTTTCTTGATTTAACAATATATAGGAATGGAATAAGTCTTTTATATAGACACAATAAAATTACCTTTGCATATAATGAGGATTATTTTTATATACTGTTCACATAAAGATCAATAGCAGTTAGAATTAAAGGACACTGCAGATCAGTAGTCAATGATGGCTAAAATGTAGCCATCTCACTAATTTTATGGGAAAAACCAGTGCTAATTAAAGAATGCATTAAAGAATAGATTTCTCATTGAGGGTCTGTATGAGATACATAAAAGTTATAAATTTTAATGATGTAAAAGAGTTCTATGATTGTTGGAAGACCATATTAAATAGAATGGATTTTTCTAAATAGATCCAAGTGTTTTCCATGAAAACATTTCCCAGACTATCATATGCCCTCTGCCAGCCTGTGTTCATTCTGTAATATATTCAAGTGACAAGGTCTCATGGTAAACATTGCATACTGCCCAACTGTTCAATGGTATAACGTGAATCATGATTTGTTAGACCTTCAAAATTTTTACAGACAGTTGGATAGCATGTAACGTGAGGATATCAGCTAAGTAAGTCAATTTGGTGAAAAATGCCTGTGAAAAAACTAGTAGGTGTGGAAAATTGCTATTACAATATGTGATTGCAGGTCAGTAATAATAATATTAGCCATGATATTTTGTTTAAATATTGTGCTGATTGGGATTTAAAAGTTGAAGCATAATGTGGTATACTGAGAAAAGAGCTACGAATGNAGTTATCTATTTGAATTTATATTTTGCAACTTTATAAATTCTTTTTTGTCATTTATGATTAATATCACATTATTTTTCATGTCAGGGTATAAAAAGTTCAATAAAAGAAATTAAAATATTGGAGGAAACAATTAATGAATCAGATGAAGGTAAATGATATTTTGACTATTATAATAAAATTTTAGAAATGTATATGCTAATAATTAGAAATATTTATATATTTATTTTATGTAACTTTTAAATTTAATAGAAAATAAATTACATAAATAATTTTTTAATTTTAACTTTAATTCCTGTAATCATATTTGTATGTTAAGAAAAGTAAATAATTTAAAGTTTTATAATATTTGATTCATATTAAAGCAAAGATTTTGTAGAAAGAAAACCATCAAAATTGAATGTTTTAGGAAAACTGAATAAATTTAGTGTATGCTAATATGAATTATGTAATACATTATTATTTAGAGTTTTTTTTATAAGAGGATTTTTTTCTCTGAGAGCACTAAGAGGTCAATGTAGAGATTAAAACAAGCTTTATACATAAAAATTATGAATTATAATATAATTTACTTTTTATATAAATCAAAAGTAAATAACGAATTGGCATTATCAATCAGAAAAATATAATATCATGAATTATAATTTTCACAAAAAGAAAAAAAGAAAATTCTACTTTTTCAAAAAATTAAGTCTTGTTTTATATTAGAAAAATATTTAACATTATACGATTATCTTATTTGATATATTTTGCTATAAATAATAATTTTTATGCTTAATGGAAAATTGCATTGGAAAAAAATTGTGGGATGTTAAAGTTTAATATTTATAAGTACCATATTTATTTAAATTATCACTGAAACTTGAGTAGCCAATTTTCTTGAATAACTATTGTAGATTCAGCATAAACAAGGCTTATTCAAAGATACTTTTACTGGAATTTGCCAGTAGTATTTGCTGTTGTGATTAGTCAGACTATTGAGAAAATCAAACAGTAAGTTGAAGAAGAAAATAATTTTTGTTGTTAATTTATGGTAATAATAAAAGCAACTCTGTATTATTATTATCTAGTGAGGGAGGCTGAATATACAGTACTTTTCTTTTCACTTATTTTTTGACTAAAAGCTGTATTTCTTTTAACCAAATGCATTGTTATATTGAAATAAAATGAAATACAATATTCAAAATAATCAACAGTAAACATTAAGCATCAAACTTTGAATAGCTGCCAGTCTTGATTAAGCACGGGTGATTTTGACTCATACAAATGAATAAGCATCTAGACAGTAATTTAAGAAAATACAGTATTTAGTTTATTAAATTTTCATATGTAATGCCTCACAGAGAAAATGTCACACCNAAACTAACTAGCAATATAAAGTTTTAGTATTGCAAATATATTTATTTTTTAAATTATGAACAAAAAGTTATATATTTGAATTTATATTTTGCAACTTTATAAATTCTTTTTTGTCATTTATGATTAATATCACATTATTTTTCATGTCAGGGTATAAAAAGTTCAATAAAAGAAATTAAAATATTGGAAGAAACAATTAATGAATCAGATGAAGGTAAATGATATTTTGACTATTATAATAAAATTTTAGAAATGTATGTGTTAATACAGTGGAACCTCGGTATACGACCTTAATCCGTTCCTGATTGTTGGACTTATACTGAATAGGACATATACTGAATCAACCTTTTCCATAAGAAGTAATGTAAAAATAATTAATTCGTTCTCATGTAAAAAAATGGCTGGCTTTAAACACCTCGCTTTCCCGGCTAGTTCTTACTTGATTTTTCATGAGATCAGCATGTATTTTTGTAGCTTTCTCGCAAATAATTGCTTCTGATACAGTGTCTCTAGCACACTGTTTTTCAGTTATCCAAAGCAANCTTATTTTATGTAAATTTTAAATTTAATAGAAAATAAATTACATAAATAATTTTTTAATTTTAACTTTAATTCCTGTAATCATATTTGTATGTTAAGAAAGGTAAATAATTTAAAGTTTTATAATATTTGATTCATATTGCAGCAAAGATTTTGTAGAAAGAAAACCATCAAAATTGAATATTTTAGGAAAACTGAATGAATTTAGTGTATGCTAATATGAATTACGTAATACATTATTATTTAGAGTTTTTTTATAAGAGGATTTTTTTTCTCTGAGAGCACTGAGAGGTTAATGTAGAGATTAAAACAAGCTTTATACATAAAAATTATGAATTATAATATAATTTACTTTTTATATAAATCAAAACTAAATAAATAATTGGCATTATCAACAGAAAAATATAATTTCATAAATTATAATTTTCACAAAAAGAAAAAAGAAAATGCTACTTTTTCAAAAAATTAAGTCTTGTTTTATATTAGAAAAATATTTAACATTTTACGATTATCTTACTTGATATATTTTGCTATAAATCATAATTTTTATGCTTAATGGAAAATTGTATTGGAAAAAAAATTGTGTGATGTTAAAGGTTAAGTATTTACAAGTACTATATTTATTTAAATTAGCACTGAAACTTGAGTAGCCAATTTTCTTGAATAACTATTGTAGATTCAGCATAAACAAGGCTTATTCAAAGATACTTTTACTGGAATTTGCCAGTAGTATTTGCTGTTGTGATTAGTCAAACTATTGAGAAAATCAAACAGTAAGTTGAAGAAGAAAATAATTTTTGTTGTTAATTTATGGTAATAATAAAAGCAATTCTGTATTATTATTATTATCTAGTGAGAGAGGCTGAATATACAGTACTTTTCTTTTCACTTATTTTTTGACTAAAAGCTGTATTTCTTTTAACCAAATGCATTGTTATATTGAAATAAAATGAAATACAATATTCAAAATAATCAACAGTAAACATTAAGCATCAAACTTTGAATAGCTGCCAGTCTTGATTAAGCACGGGTGATTTTGACTCATACAAATGAATAAGCATCTAGACAGTAATTTAAGAAAATACAGTATTTAGTTTATTAAATTTTCATATGTAATGCCTCACAGAGAAAATGTCACACCATACAGAAATGTTCAAAATGATACAAAGGTCAACAACACACAGATAGAGAACTAAGTTCTGAACAATCTATTTTAATTTCAGACAATTACACGTCTCCTGTGACCCAGTATACAGGATGATCAGTAAGTAGTAGGGTCACCACATTGGGCAATACAGTCATTAATGCAATGTAGCATCAATTCAGTGAGTGCTTGAATACTGTCCTCTGGTAGTGTTGACCAAGTGGTAATGACCATGTTTTACAGTTCATGTTCATTATGAGGCTGTGGGAGAACATTTGATGCTTAGTTGTGTCCCACAGATTCTTGATTGGAGAGAGATCTGGGGATTGTGCTGGCCAAGGAATTACCTGGACACTTTGCAAAGGATGCATGCTAATGTTTGTTGCATGTTATCCTTCAGGAAAATGGTGCTGGGTATGCTTGAAGATATGGTAGTACAACAGACTGCAGCACTTCAACAACATAACAATTTGCCATCAATTTTTCCCTGATGTGTACTAGAGATGATGCGCTATTGATACTGATGAAATTTTAAATCATGACTAGACAAGCTGTATGAACTCCAGAATGGCAGAAGAATCAGTCTGATTGACAGATTTCCTTTAAATCCTCATTAGGTGATTATCATTGTTGAGATCTTATTCAATGCCGAATGCCACATTACCATATATCTTCCAGGTAGTTCTGGAGTAACACCACTACAAGTGTTCATAATGATGTTGTGTTGTGAGGAGTAGTCTTTGCAATTGTTAGTTTGACTACAAACCTGTTTCAGCCAATCTACAAGAAACTGTAATTGTTGATATTGAAGCATCCAAATCTATTTGTACACTCTGCAGTATGTCACCAACTGGATTATGGAGCTGCTACTACATGATCTGTGTGTTGTGACATTTGTCTCAGTGTTCCAGTCCCACTAGGATGATGAAAATTTCATTTCTGTTGATCATTGTCTCCAAATTCAACTTATGGTTGTGTCATCCTGTTTAGTTTCTCTTGCAATATGAGACAAAGACCACTTAGCTGTATAATGAAAACTTTAGTAAATGTATACATTTGATGAAATGTCTCTCAACAGCATCCTAGAGGCATCTTCACACCTTAATCTTTATCCAGAAACAAAAAGCAATTACCATGGGTGTGACAATGTCTCCAGAGTTAACTACGGACTGGTTTTCCCTGTTTATCGCATTCCCAGGTACATGTCTGGTCTGAAACTGCATCAGTTTACATGACTTGTTTGTCTGAACATACTTTGAAATTTGCATAATGCTGCTACAAAATCTTCATGGTGTGGTGTTTTTTCTATGAGGCAGTGTATTGTAAAGAATTGAGCAGAACAATCTTTTAAGTGATTAATATCATTTTATTGATATATTATTATTTGCTGTCTTCTGTTTTGATTGCCATGAAGATGTAATAAAATTTTGTATATACAGGTAACCCCCGTATAACACGGCACTTCTTTAGCACGGATTTGCTCTAACACGGTTCGAGAATTGGGTAAAACCCTCGTACAACAGGAAATGTAATAAATTTTTACATACTTAAGTACAAATAGTTCACGAAAATAATAATTTTCGTGAACTATTTGTACTTAAGTATGTAAATTTTCTCTTCTCACCTTCTGTCGATACACGTGGTTCTTCTCGAAACTTGTTTCAATGTTGCCAGATCGCGATGCTTCTGCTTCTGATGTTGCTGAATGTTTTTCCCTTATTCCATACTTGCTTTATTCTTCANATAATGAAAACTTTAGTAAATGTATACATTTGATGAAATGTCTCTCAACAGCATCCTAGAGGCATCTTCACACCTTAATCTTTATCCAGAAACAAAAAGCAATTACCATGGGTGTGACAATGTCTCCAGAGTTAACTACGGACTGGTTTTCCCTGTTTATTGCATTTCCAGATACGTCTGGTCTGAAACTGCATCAGTTTACATGACTTGTTTGTCTGAACATACAGTAGAACCTCCATTATCCGGACTAATTGGGGATGAAGGTAGTCCGGATAAGGAAAAATCCGGATAATCGAAACAATACTTTAATTTGTCTTTTAATGATAATACAACACGTTTTCTTTTCGATGTCATATCGGTAATATTAAAATTAAATACTGTATTTAAATCGTGATCAAATTTTCAAGAAACAAACGTTCGTATTGAATTTGAACTACTACTGACCAACGCTAACAGACTACCTATTGTTTAAAAGGCCCTCTGGTGGCGCAAAAGAACGGATTTTATAAAATGAAAAGCAGTTGAAACTGCATTTTTATGAATAAAAATTTGGCAAACTATTTATTGTTTTATGACGAGTAAAATTTTTTTGTTGTGTTCGCGGCTTTTAAGTAATGCATGAACCTTCGAAACGCGAGGCCCTTCGGACCGCGAGGCATAGGCGATGGCCCACGTTGCCCATGCCTTACACTGCCCTTGGTCATAGAAATGATGTAATTTGAAAATAAATTATTTATAAATACGTATGNTTTACTAAAATAATAGTTATATGCATATTATTAAGTAAAAAATTGTTTTTAAGATTGTCCTTAATAAGTATGTTATGTACAGTAGTTCATTATTATTTATTGATCCTAACTAGGCAGATTTACTTGATTACTGTTTCTTAAAATATACAAATTCTAAAATGTTAATGTATTGCTAAAAGTTTTAATGCTCTGATTCAGTTTGATAAGGGGAAATGGTAAGAGAATGAGTATATGTGACATGAATTGAAAATATTGCTGTTTATTAACATAAATTTTATATTAATTTTTAGGCTCAAGAACAATTTAGAGAAATGAAAGAAGAAAAAAGTGCACTTCTAGAAAAATATACAGTTGTTAATGAAGAATTGCATTGCATAGAAAGTAAGATATGTTAAACAGAGTATAAGATATAAGTATGATAACATTAATTAAACATACTAATTATACAATTTAACACAATTTTATAGGTTCAAATAATTGGATTAGAATTTAATGATCTTTTAATTTTTATGTGGACTATGTATTTGATCTAAAAGTCAATGAGTCCAAATCCAGATTATATATAATAATGATCACAAAAAGCAGAGCATTATTAGTAAAAATAGTAGTAAAAAATGATTAAATCAGTTTTATTACTAATGTTTATTGTTCTAGCATTACATACAATATTGAATTTCCATTTAGAAAATATTTAACTATTTAACTTTTTATATTTTAACACATTTACAATTGACAATTTAAAAAATTATGTCGCTCAAGACTAACATTCAGTTAATAAAAATTAATTTTATTGATAGTTAAAATCAAAATTAAGTTGATATTCTGCTATATGTGACTTTTTAGTTTATTGTTACAGATTAATCTTTTGTAAAATGCATCAATATAGGCAAATGCTTTCTAATAAATTGTTTTCATCATAAATTTCTTTCCTAAGCATTGCTGAAGAGTTCAGGATAATTTTATTGCAACAAATATTTGTGCATTTCCATTCTAGTTTTGGTGATTTGATAACCTGTTTGAGGTTCTTATGCTCATTTTTTACCTTTTTTTTCCAAGGATAAATTAGGATTAAATTTTTGTGTAGAATTTAAATAGAGTTTTTATTCATTTATTTTTTTAGGATTTTTACAAAAACTGACTTTTTAAATAATTGGTTTTTGAATCTCAATTTTTCTACAAAACTAGTTTTAACCAGTTTTCAAATTTGTACCCCCAAAAAGCGATGATATGGGATATTTACAATTTATTTTAAACTTTTGAATTTACTTAATATTTATAACATTTTAAAAATATAACAAAATAAAATCGACCATGTCTACACAAAACAAAATAACTGCTAGAATATCACATTTAAACTATAAAATTTACTCCATAGAAAACCATAAAGAAAAAAGGAATAACAATGAATGCCTACAAAATATATTTTTATTTCTTATTTTTCCTAAGAAAATATGATTTTAAAAAGCAAAGAACATCTATAGATCTATTGCTCAATCATGTCCCTATTTTGCACATAAAATTGCCAGTAATAGAAAAAACTCTCTCACTTGCTACTGAGCTGGGTTTAATCATATTTAAAGCATTAAATAATAAATCTAAAAATGTTTTTTCAGTTAGCATTTAAAAAATGTAAGAATCAATGACTATGTTATTTGTAAGCAAATAATTTGTAAATTTTTTAAACTGAAATTAGTTTGTAAAAACATTAGAAAAGAACATTGAAGAGTTATATCTAAATATATGAAATTACTTGTCCTGACTGAATGAGTGATTGACTGATTGATTTATCATCACCCAGAGCAAACCACTGAACCCAAAGAGGTGAAATTTTGTACACAGTTAGGGTACGTCATGAAAACATACACTAAGAAGGGATTTTATGAAATTCCCCTGCAGGGGAGAGGGAAAGGATTAAGGCTTAACCTGAAGAATGGTTTCTACTGTACTATTTTAGATGCAGTTTTTTGTTTTTAACTACGTTTAGTCTTTATTGAGTACTTAGGTGTATTAAATTGATAACATTTCAGACATTGGGTTGGGTACGTTTGTAAAGTTGAACAATTTAAACGCATTAGTAACGAATCGTTCTAAAAGTAGTAGTCTCACTCAGTGTGCATGCTCTGCAGTGATGATGTTTCAAATGAAACTCTAACGAAGTTCACGAAGGAAAGAGTCAGTTCACTTTGTTAAGAAAATGGCAGCTGACAATATTGATGTTTCTAAATCTACTCAAATATTTAAACTGTGAATTAAAAGGTGAAATGATAGAAATAACTATCCACTCAAAGCAATCTAAGAAAAATATTTCAGATAAGGCTACACTATAAACATTCATATCTTCGATTTTAGAAACAGCCATTTAGTTATAAATGAATCGTTCGAAAAGTCTAACGAAATAATAATAATGATGACATTATTTTCATTTAACTCGTTTGACTTTGTACAAACATACCCATTGTTATAAATATTTTTATATATTTCAGTTTTTTAACCAAATGTTCAAACCGTTTTAAATTCAAATTTGTTATTGCTTATTGATTTGATTATAGAACGATTGTAAACATTCCAGAAAATTGATCAAATTGAAAACAGTTCATTTGATTCTCAGCGGTAGGTGTTATATAACAATTACTATGGTTGTTGAAATACTGAATATAAATGGTGTTTGCTTACAAAATCCACATGTGCAAAATCACGGGTAACAGCTAGTTATTGTATAAAATAATTATAGTAAAATAATTATAAAATCACTGAAAAATGCTAAAATAAAAATTTGTGTCAAAAATATTTTATTCATTAAATTTTTAAAATTATTTTTCAGAACAACTTTCAGAATCAAAAGAGGAAATAGAAAAATTGAAAATGAACTATAATCAAGCATTACAAGATAAAATGGAAGCACAGACAAAATTAGATGTTTTATCTAATTATTTTAAGGAAAAAGAATTACAGTTACAAAAGTAAGTATAATTTTTTTTTATTTTGTGGTTTTATGAACTTCATTTTTAAAAAACAAAATTTTTAAAAATTTTACTAAAATAATAGTTATATGCATATTATTAAGTAAAAAATTGTTTTTAAGATTGTCCTTAATAAGTATGTTATGTATAGTAGTTCATTATTATTTATTGATCCTAACTAGGCAGATTTACTTGATTACTGTTTCTTAAAATATACAAATTCTAAAATGTTAATGTATTGCTAAAAGTTTTAATGCTCTGATTCAGTTTGATAAGGGGAAATGGTAAGAGAATGAGTATATGTGACATGAATTGAAAATCTTTAAAAATTTAAATAAAATGAAGTTTAAGAAAATGTCACTTTCTTTAAATTTTTAAAATATATTATATTTTTTAATGGTTAATTGATTGAGGATAATAATTAAATAAAAAAAATGCTGAAAATTATTTGGTGTTTTGATACATCGTACATATGAAAATGATTGAGCATTCAAATGAAAGATATTAATAGTTAGCCTCTCTATGCAATTTTGTATGTTACTAGGCAGTTACACACTTGTACTCTTTTTTATAAGATTAACAGCCACTTTACATAGAGTTGACACTGGCACATTCTGAGCTTAAAGTTAGCATTGCTGCAGCAATGCTAACTTTAAGCTCTTCAGCTGTGTGTGGGTTACTGCATTACTCTTGGATAGTGAAGAACTACACAACAATGAATGCACACTGGTTCTGGGAACAAACATGTCACTTGCAATTCTAACAATTATCTACTACATCCCACTCACACTTGTGCTTCTTGAAGTTAACATGCAACATGTCACAAACTACAAGTGCTTCCACTTGAGAAACATATCTGGTGGCTATGTGTGTACAATGATATGTGCCATTCACTTGCCAAATTGATTAACTCCATAAAACAAAAAGTGGAGAAAAGTGACAAAGTAATATACACTCTTTTTTAAAATTTTTTTAAAAATATAAATTCAAATAAACATTGTAGAATGTATTATTGTAGATGTAGCTTTTATTTAACAACATATAAAATGTATAAGAAAGCATAGATATGCTATAATCGTTATTATTATTACAATTTTGGTATGATTTATGGAGTTAATTGATTTGGCAAATGAAAAATGTAGTAAGATCAAATTCAGTTTTCATATAGTTTTTTTCTTATAGAGAAACTTCATTATTCTACATTATTTATGAAAAATTTTTCACAAAATTGAATAATAACTGCTCTGTTACTGTTACAATGGTTGTTATTATTATTATTATTATTGTTTAAATTGATTATTCAGCAACATAAATGACGTTATCTTTGTCAGCTGTATTTGAGGTCCTATCATGTTGATTTTGTTCTTAAATTTTTATAAGAATCATGTTTGATAGGAGGAATAAAAAAAATTATTACAGTGGGTGATTGGTTAATGAACAGATCAGTTAATGAACAAATCAGATAACGAACACTTTCGCGAAAGATTTTTATGATCGGACAATGAGTACATGTTCGGATAACGAACACTTTGCTGAACAAACACAAGAAGAAGCGATGTAAAATAACGAATACCGATTGATCTTTTTTTGTCTTCAGGAAACAATTCAAAGCTTTTTGGAGTGCAGGAGACTTCAACATCGATGTTTAACCCAGTATATACTGATCGGATAGTATTTCCCCAAACTTTGAAACTCTCCCTTGTAATTCCAGCATTTTATATTTCTGACAGAAACAATATTTTTACGTTTTCTTCTGAAAAAGAGGATTGATGCCGATATCTGCGATTAAAGATCTTTTGAAGAAGTGGGAGGATGTCAGAACAATGGTCTTAAAATGGCATCCAAACCAGGTTGAGGTTAATAGGCCTAGGGTTCTCTACAATTACAATGCTATTANAAAATGTCACTTTCTTTAAATTTTTAAAATATATTATATTTTTTAATGGTTAATTGATTGAGGATAATAATTAAATAAAAAAAAATGCTGAAAATTATTTGGTGTTTTGATACATCGTACATATGAAAATGATTGAGCATTCAAATGAAAGATATTAATAGTTAGCCTCTTTATGCAATTTTGTATGTTACTAGGCAGTTACACACTTGTACTCTTTTTTATAAGATTAACAGCCACTTTACATAGAGTTGACACTGGCACATTCTGAATTGCTGCAGCAATGCTAACTTTAAGCTCTTCAGTGTGTGTGGGTTACTGCATTACTCTTGGATAGTGAAGAACTACACAACAATGAATGCACACTGGTTCTGGGAACAAACATGTCACTTGCAATTCTAACAATTATCTACTACAGCCCACTCACACTTGTGCTTCTTGAAGTTAACATGCAACATGTCACAAACTACAAGTGCTTCCACTCGTTGAGAAACATATCTGGTGGCTATGTGTGTACAATGATATGTGCCACTCACTTGCCAAATTGATTAACTCCATAAAACAAAAAGTGGAGAAAAGTGACAAAGTAATATACACTCTTTTTTAAAATTTTTTTAAAAATATAAATTCAAATAAACATTATAGAATGTATTATTGTAGATGTAGCTTTTATTTAACAACATATAAAATGTATAAGAAAGCATAGATATGCTATAATCGTTATTATTATTACAATTTTGGTATGAATTATGGAGTTAATTGATTTGGCAAATGAAAAATGTAGTAAGATCAAATTCAGTTTTCATATAGTTTTTTCTTATAGAGAAACTTCATTATTCTACATTATTTATGAAAAATTTTTCACAAAATTGAATAATAACTGCTCTGTTACTGTTACAATGGTTGTTATTATTATTATTATTATTGTTTAAATTGATTATTCAGCAACATAAATGACGTTTTCTTTGTCAGCTGTATTTGAGGTCCTATCATGTTGATTTTGTTCTTAAATTTTTATAAGAATCATGTTTGATAGGAGGAATAAAAAAATTATTACAGTGGGTGATTGGTTAATGAACAAATCGGATAATGAACACTTTCACGAAAGATTTTTATGATCGGACAATGAGCACATGTTCGGATAATGAACGCTTTGCTGAACAAACACAAGAAGAAGCGACATAAAATAACGAATACCGATTGATCTTTTTTTTTGTCTTCAGGCAACAATTCAAAGCTTTTTGGAGTGTGGGAGACTTCGACATTGACATTTAACCCAGTATATACTGATCAGATAGTATTCCCCCAAACTTTGAAACTCTCCCTTGTAATTCCAGCATTTTATATTTCTGACAGAAACAATATTTTTACATTTTCTTCTGAAAAAGAGGATTGATGCCGATATCTGCGATTAAAGATCTTTTTAAGAAGTGGGAGGATGTCAGAACAATGGTCTTAAAATGGCATCCAAACCAGGTTGAGGTTAATAGGCCTAGGGTTCTCTACAATTACAATGCTATTAATTAATTCTGAAAAATCATGAAGACAGAAGAGCAATCGACATTGGACAGATTTTTTAACCCCCACAAACGGAAAAAACAGGACTAATAAAAATGCAAGACCGTCTATATATGTACTTTTATTATTACATATGAATAAATGTAGTAAGAAAGTATATATATTTTTTTTTGGGAGGGGGTCTTCAGAACGAATTAATCAAATTTCCATAAAAACCTATGGTAAATCGATAATTGGTTAACTAACAATTCGGGTAACGAACAAAGTCTTGGAACGGATTATATTCGTTAACCAATCACCCACTGTATTTAGTTTCATCCATTTTGATATAACAGTATAACTTTTTTTCTAAAAACAATTACCATCAAAATTAAAACAATCATTCAGTAATCCACAAGTATACTTACTTTTTGTGATGAGATAACATTAAATAATTTATCGTTATCTACAAGGCATTGGTCAGTGCGCACTATGATTGCGATGCTGCAGTGTGCGCTGGTGGATTTACGTTACAGTATGGAATTAATTAGATTGGCTTCTGAAATAAATTTTTTTTCTATGGCCAATAAAATTTTGTCATTAAGTGGTATTAATCCTTATTATTAGGGAAAATTATTACGAATATAAAAAGTTACAAGTATATAAAGTGCTTTGACACTAAAATTTTTAAAAATTTGAAATGTGAATTTAATCAATTTGGCTTGTGAATGACTCATATAGACACATGAAAATCAGATTGTGTGACTTTTAGATTATACTGTATATTGTTGATTTCACTCAAGATTGTAAGAAAAGATATTTAATAAACATGTATGGGAATTCAGGATGTCTGTGTATAGATTATCTAAATTATGTTGCCCAGAGCAATTATAAGTTGTGTGTCATCCTGCTATTTTGCATGAATGGTGCAAGTGTGAGGACCCGAACAGGGGTCGACTGAGAGGTCCGAATTATGGGTTCGATCGAAAATAAAGAGCTCCTTTTCAGACGATAAGGAAACGGATTAGGTGTCTCGATTGAACAATGCAATTGGTTTTTTTCGGAAAATTAGTTAAACAATGGAAACGGAGAAATTCGAGGAAAACGCGACGAGAGAGAGGATTATATTCAGTCGCTATGTTAACCTCTCCCGCGTCCTCCATTAGGTTTTGAATTGTCACCAGGTGACAATGAGAGACCAATGGAGAGGCGACTGCTGTAAAAAAATCTATAAATTTGTGCGGCTCAAGAGACGAAGGTTCTTGGTTTTTTGGTTCTTTGTTCTTGGTGTTTGGATACGTAGTGTGTCGTCTCCTGGACGGGCGTGCTCCAGATCTTAGAAAAAAAAGGACATTTTGGAACATCATGGAAGCATCGTTCTCTGGGTGCTCCTAGCAATCGACAGATTCGTCGGTTCGTCCGCGAGAAGCCGCCGAAAGCCGTAATCAACGCCCCGGGGCCCACGGAGTGTTTCACCGACAGCGTCCATCCTCTAGCGACGAAAACCGACTTTTATAAACTTTATTTCGAACTTTATCCGTGCGCTTTGGGGTGCTACCTCGTCTAACAAGTAATTTGTAAGGAAAATTTTTATGTTTAATAAACGGTTATATGGTAAACCTGTCTCAGGAAGTCAGTCTGCGCCCACACGACAGAACTCACCCCTAATCGGCTGACCTCACACAAGTATGAAATATGTGGCTACATTCAATATTAATTTTTAATAATAATTTTAATGAAAAAAAAATACATGCCTATAGAGGATGATCAGTGATGTCTTTTCAATTAATTATTTTTTTTTTGAATAATTTAGTTCAATTCTAATAAATGTTTTAACAAATTTTATTTCATACATGATGATTTATTAATTAGAATACAAAATATTTATCATTCAGAAAAAGCTATTTTAATTGATTATTTACTGTTGGAAGTAAAATTGTAAAAATGAAACTGCTATAAATGTTTAAGATAGAATTTTCAAAGATCATTTGTTTGAAAACTTCTTAAATATTAACAAGCAAATAATTTTTTTACCACTCCAGCATTGAATATTTATCTTTTAGAGTTGACTATTTAAATTTGGTTGCTTCCAGCAAGTGTTAAATTATCTGTTGACACCAACATCTGTTCAGTAGCATTAAAATGACTGATTATATTTAATTAATTTTACTGTAAGAATTATTCATGAAAACAAAGTTTGCAATATCAATCAATTTATAAATCTTTTGATATTAGATAATTAAAAGTTAATTTCAAATTTTCTGAATTTTATTTACAATAATATCTAGAAAATTTAAAATGAACTTTTAATGGTTGATTATCTAGAAAAGTTTTAAATAAACTTTGACAATTAATAAAATGATTATGACAAAATGTTTAATTATTTATTACATACTTCAAAATGTTCCAAAATATTTAAATGCCAAATTCAAAATTCTTACTTTGGACAATGATCACACAAAAATATAATTTAAAATTAGAGAGACACTAACTGTCAGTTTTAGGAATTTTAGCATTTTAAGAAAAAATATTGCTTTATGAAATTTGTATAGACATGAGCAACTCATTCTTAATCATTTTTATTTATGGTGTGTTATTAAATTAGTGATGATGATATTGAATTTCAAATGAAAATTGTAATTTTATTAATAATCTTAAAATTGTTTTCCTCTTAACTACAACTAGAATATATCTGATTTTTATTATAATGTATATGCATACAATATATATATACAACTAGAATATATCTGATTATTATTATAATGTATATGCATACAATATATATATATCAGTTAACCAGTGATCTGTTTACAAAGGAGTTTTTTTTTTTTTAATGCAGCATCCTTTGACTACACCGTAATTAAGTTCATTGATATTTTTTAACCTTAATTTATTAGTGTTAAAATGTTTTTTATTTTTTAAATTAGTTTCATGTAACAGTTTACTGCAAAAATATAATAACTATTTGTTAATCCCAAAAATTAATCTTTGTGAATATTATGAAAATATTGATAGATTTTTCTGTAAGATATCAAATTTTTATATTTTCAACATTAAAAAATAACAACAATCTCTTTAAACTTATTTATAATTTTCAATTATTTTGAAAAATAGTTTCTATTAATAAAATGAAATATAAAAACATGAAAAATTTTTTAAAATATGTATGAAATCTAATTTTTCTCGTATTTTAATTTGACTTATTTAATTTTTAATTATAGAGAACTTGGTGTCCAAGAAGCAATGAGGCAGCAAAAAGAAGAAGTTGCATCTTCAGCATCTCAACATATAGCATTAGTTGAACAAGAAAATATTAGTTACAAGTATGTTTTATTGCATTATTTATTTTAAAATACAAAACAACATAGCTATTGCCTTTCTTAAATATCATACAATAAATAATTACTTAAATAGTTAAATTTGATTTTAATTATGAATTTTCAAACTGTGTGATTTATTTTTAAAATTATTTTGTCATTGTCTTAAGGAATCAATTAGCAACATTAAAACAAGAGCTTGAAGACACAGAAAGAAATTATAAAAATCAGGTATATTTTCATCACATATATTTGTTATATATTAAATACTTTTTAGAAATTTATATTCTTTCAAAGTAATACAGCAAAGACATAAAAATTTAAAGTAATTTTTTATTTTTGCTGAATTACTTTGAAAGAATATAATTTAATTAAAATTTTTTTCAAAATTTGACAATTTTATTTGAAAGGAATTTAATAAAATTTTAAATACGACAAAATGATACAGTCAAAAATTTTTATTGTTTTCAATTTGTTTAATTTTTAATTTGTGTATAAAGTAATTATTTAGCTTTTTAACTGGCTACACCACTTTGTAGAAGACTGTTGACCAATATTAGAATTATATTTTTCACTTTTCTTAGGTTGCTACACATGAGAAAAAAGCTCATGAAAATTGGGTAAATATGATTATTATTATTATTAATAGAATTAATCTTTAATCTACTAATAAATATAATTTAAAGTTGTTATAAATATTTTTTAAAAAAAGAATTAACAATCATATTTTTTGTAAATGTATAATCTCAGTTTATCTAGTTAAATTTTAATTCAATAAAATAATAATAATAATTTAGACTAATTTAAAGAAGTTAAAATGTTAGGAGTTTGAGGTTTATGCTATATTAAGCAAAGTTATACATATAAAATGAATGTAGACAAGTGAAAAATCTAATTTGCAAATACAAATTTCATGTGGTAGTTGTGAACACTTTTGTTCCTCATCTCCTCATTACCATGTTCACAAGTCTGCCATATTTTATTGCATTTTCTTAATACATTTCAAATTATGTATACTTTTATTGATTATCTTTTACACTAAGTCATACACATAACTAATCCGATTCACTAATCTGGAGGACTTCTTATTGGATTTTTTCTTAAATTTTGCTAATAAACATCACTCAATTCTCTGTTGTACTTTTCATTTGCCAGATAAAATGCCTGGCAAATAAAGAGTAGAATGGAGAATTGAATGGTGTTTATTAGTAACTAAAATTTAAGGAAAAATTTGATAAGACATCCTCCAGATTAGTGAACCAGTAGGGTCACACACGTGATTTAGTGTATTACAAAAGAAAGGTTGAATGACAAATTATAAAATGATTACATTAGTTTACACATTAAAAAAGTTCATTGCTGACTTGAATGTTTTAACTGATTTTGCACAATTTGAGGCTGCTGATTCCAAATATGCAATCAGAAATTATGTATCATGTCAGTTTTTCAGTATTAACACTTATTCATTTACACAAATTTTGGACATTTGCTCATAGTTCACTAACTTCTTTACACATAATAAAGTACTTATGACTATATTAATACTATAAAAAGTAATTTTGCATTCACAAGAGTAAACAAAATATATGTAAGTACTTAATCAGACAAAAACTTTTTCTTCTTTGATTTTCTAGTGTATGGAATCAACTGCAAGCACCAACAATAGTTTGTTATTATTTTTGTGTTCTGTCTGCCTTGATATCAGTGCTCAATGACCTTTATATTTATATCTTTCTGGAAGCACTCACCTTGCTTTTCACTTATGGAATCAAGATTTGAGGGAAAGAATTTTATGTGGCTGTGCAGGAATTGCACCTTGACACTCTTGTTTACTCCAAACCTCTGAAAAGCTGTCAACAAAGTTTCAACTGAAATCTTGTAGTTGTCTCCAGTGAAGTTGCCAAGAAAGTTTGTAACATCAGAAAATGCACACCAAACTGCTATTCTCCATACTGTTTATGGTGTTAAAGATCAGATAAAGATAATTCAGCTCAACTTGAGTGAAAGGTTGCACCTTCTGGTTCTGGTTTCATTGCTTGACAACACAAAGTCCTGATCATCACTATCTGTATTTGCAGGGACACTTGAATCTTCATTGCTTAAACTTGCAGATTTGTTGAAAGAGGGATAGTGATTTCATTACAGTGAGGAATAGGTCTTTGGGCAGAGGGTAAGTTAGGATATTGTAGGAAATGTTTTGACTTTTCTTGAATCCTAATACATTCACCTTACAAAAATAGCAGTCATCAATATGGTTTTGTAGCTCTTGTTACACCATTGGAATTCCAAAACTGAGGCTTTTTCTCTGACCAAAACATTAGTAAAGTGACATGTAACATTACCTTCATTTATCTTTCTCACCATTTTGTGGGGAAACCTGACATGATTGAGAAAAATGGATATGATTTTTAGGTTCAGCACTCTCAAATCAATTGTTAGCCTGAAGTCAGCAAACTTGATATAGACCAGTGTTATCCTTTAATTTTGAGTATAGGTATACATTTGAATTAAATCAAAAGATGATTTAATTTTTACCTGCAATAGGTAGTGTTATGCAGCATAAATTTGGGCAATAAAATTGTTTTTAGTTATTCACTTTGATAGAACTGTTAAGTTTTAATGGAAATTTAATTATTTAGAAATTATACATTTAATATACTAATTTTAACAATATTATGAATAAAATTTTAATATTTATATTAAATAGAATTAATTTTAAAAATAACCTTTCATGTGAAAAATTTATGTATTTTCAAACATTATTTTAGTTAGCAGCCAGATTACTTGAAAGAAAATTAGAAGAAGCAAAACAGGAATCGGCTCAGTTACGTCAAAGGTAAAAATTATTTGAGAGTTAAATTAATATTGTAAACTGAAATTAAGTATTAAATTTTGAATTTTAGCTATATTATAATTACTTTTTGATGAGACTATGTCCATCTCTAAAATCATGCTGGTGTCAATGGCTGCACACCTTAGAGGTATGAAGGAGTTGCAATTTGGCACAGTCACATGTCAGGAGTTGCAATTTGGCACAGAATATTTGGTGCCCAAATCATGAACACACAAAATAAACCAGACTTGTAGGTAGTCAGGAGACTGAGAACTGGATCAAAAGAAAATACGAAATTCTGAGACTGTTTCTACAAAGAGGCACAAGTGCGAGATTTGTGCATGCATTGCTCGCACTCTCCAAGACATAGTCTTGTTCCAAAAATGGCTTTGCCATTTTACTTTTTAAAAATAAAACTATAAAAATTGCAAAGAAATTAGAATACTGTATAATCTTGGTAATCTGACATGTATGGGATTGGAACAATGTCAGATTAAGGATATTGCTGGAGTATTGGAAGTAAGATGAATTCAATGATTTAATCATTTGGGAAGAAAACATTTATTTGCGTCTTAGTACATTGTTGTAATCAAAAATATATTTAGAGTGGGAAGAAAATATGAAAGGAAAGTAATCATACATTACTGTATTTTAGAGTTCTTAAATTAATTGCTAATCCTTTTAAAATCATTTTCACTTGTCTTCTGCTGTTTTATCATCTGAGCATGTTGCCATGTTGATGGATTCCCACAAAATTTAGTGAGAAATTGAAGCAATCGTGGGAAATTTAGTAGATGTTCAGTATTTTTTATGAGAAATTTTTGGGGCAGATTTTTATTTTTATACAATATTGTGTTATAAAATATTGTACCTTTTTTGAGGAGCCTAACAATCTTTAATATTGTTCCAAACTTGAGTGTTCAATCTCAGGTTCACTATCTTGCCACATTTAGTGAAAAAGTAGTGGGAATGGGAGTTAGACATAATGGGAAGCTTGTTTACAATTCGTCAACACTGCCAGTAATACCTAACAGTCGACTAGTGTTGGATTACTGGATGTGTCAAACTAGTGAACATTACCAAGAATGTACTGTATTAACTTCTGTGGTCAAATGAAGAATAGGTACACACCAATTTGTAATGATTTTTTTTTTTAATTAACCTTTATTAAAAATAATGAAAATAAATCTCAGTCAAATATTTTCTGAAATAATATTAGAATGTATTGTGGAAAAACTGTTATTTTATATTAAAAATATCAGATTTAAAGGGTATTTTTATTTAAATGTTAAATAAAACTTCGATAATCACATCTATTCTTCTATTTAAATTCTAATAAAAAAACTTATTGCTAATGATTATTAGTTTAAAATTACAAATAAATTGTGAATGTTTACCAAATATAAAATAACAAAATATTACTATTAAAAAAAAACAACAATTTTTTATATTTGTAATTTGCAACACACACTAGAAAATCAAATCTAAAATATTTTGAAGATTCATAGAATAGAAGCTATAGATTGGTTTTAAATATTATATTTAAAATATAACAACAGTAATACCTCGACTTATGCTACCCAGAGTTACGCGATTTTCAAATCTCTTTGATTTGTCTTTTGTTTGAGCACCACGCAACTCTTGATTACTCACTCTCCCCACACTATTGTTCAGCTTAAATGTTAGGATGTGTAGCATGGAATCAACACATAGCTGCAATTTATTTTGTGTTGTTTATTTCTGTGTTTGTTATATCTATGGAGACTTGAGCGACTTTATGTGGTGATTTCTTGTAACCGTGAACAAATCAAAAGACGAGATAAGATTAATGAGAACATTTATTAGCTTACATACATCTGACTTGGATTTTACACAAATTGCAAAATTATACCCCGACTTACACAAATTCAACTTACATGGTTATCGCTTGGTCCCACCTATTGCATAAGTTTGGGGTATTACTGTACATTAAATATTGACAGATCAGTAATTCATAAAATTTTTAATATTTGTAGTACCGTATAATAATGAAATGTTCCATACTGATAATTTTTCAAACTATATTAATTAATTAATATGTATTTTTATTTTAGATTGACTTTACTGGAAAGAGAACAGGAAAATTGGACAAAATCTCAAATTGATGGTGTAGTTCGGCCTGTGCCAAAACGTAATATAAATATTTTAAAATTAATAATAGTTACTATAATATCAAGTAATTTAAAAGTTTTTTTATGTAATTAGATGAAACATTGTGTAATATACAGAATTACAGTAAACCCGCTAGCTTGCATTAATAGAGAAGTGAAAGTTATATAAGTCAGCATGGTATTTCCTATGATAATCTGATAAACAAGATGATGGATATACAGTATAGTAATTTATTAAAATCAACTCTACACAGAAGTTTAGAGAATTTTAGTAATTTTTACTAAAGTGTCGTTATCTTGCACTTTCCTTTTGAGGAAGAAGTGCCTCTGGCTATGTGTTTTCAAACCATGACTATAAAAGAAGAAACATGGACAGTTCATCTCAATATATTCCAAACACATCTTTAATATCAGCATAAATTTATTTATGGTAAGTGATTTCAGCCATATTGAATGGTCTCCAACTGAAAATAGAACAAGAATCTTTTAAATTAAAAAATTTGGCAAATTGTTGTGTAACTTTCCTGGCTGTTATGAGATAACTTTTACAGTATATTTTTAATTATTATAAAATGGCAAATGGCTTAATTTTGAGGGTAGGATGGGTTTAAAAAAAAATTATAAATGATAATAATGAATAACATCTTCAGTAAGTTTGTCTCCTGTCAAGATATGACACGACACCTCTATCGCCTCATTCCCTCGACCTTTAACTACCAAAATTTAATATCATCAATGCCTCTTATACACAAGCTACCATGCCAAATTTTGTTTCTTCATCATTACAACCATCCTGAGATATTAAATGAGATAGACACCAACACACACAGAGAGAATTTTTCCCATTTTTTTACTTTTTGGATTCAAAGGGTCTCAAAATATGGAGATTTTGCAAAAAACTCAGAGGGTCAAATTTGACATAATTCCAATACTTTCCTTGTTATGTATACATAACAGTCAAGAAAGTAAAAATCAGCACAACAGATTTAAAATAGATGGAAAATCTTTACATATTGGTTGCATTTAAAAACTATTCTTCAGAATGATTCATATCACTTTAAAATTACAAAATTGTATAAAAAAAGATATAATAAAACACACAAGAGTTGCACTAACAATTGTAAGTTTCATAGTAAGATCTTTATGTGTAAAAAAATATCTTAATATCCTTAAAGTTTATAGATTTGCTTTGACAATTTATAAATTTCTAATTCCTCCAATTGTCTAAGGTCTGTGGCATCATGTACCACTCATAATTTTAGCTTCTTGAAGCTGCACCTTTACTAACTGGTCCATAACATATGCTGCTAATACCATTACAGGCTGTCCTTTCTTTATTAAGATGTCATGCTCCCAAATACTTGCTCTGAGGATATGAGAGCATGATACCTCAATGAGAAGTGTAACATGGCTTAATGTTTTCCAGCTACTTACTAATTCTATGATCTTTTACAAGAACAGAATATACACCTGTCAAGTGAATTGGGTCAGATGGATTCTTATTATTCCTAAGCAGCTTGTACACAGTTAGATTCCACCTATAATACAGACATCTTATTGCTCCATTTGCTCTAGCAATCTCACATAAGCTATTTAAATATCTCTTATAACTGACAACTCTATCTTTCTTATATACACCCTTATGGTTCTATGAATATAACTATTCTCTCACAATCTTCTTTATATAAAATTTTTTCCAATCTATCCCAGATATTTGAACACACTTCTAACAATGTAAATGCCATTAATTTGAGATGTTGGGGTTGTGACAAACTTGGAATGAATAAAAGATAGTAGCTTTCTGGGCTTTGTAGATTTGTGCTGTATATTTGGAATATATTGTCATAGTATAACCAGTTATTATTTCAATATCATTCTGCTCAATGCAACATGTGAATATCCTACACAATCTCAATAATACAGAAAATTGTTTGGCAAAAAATGGCTTGCCTCTCTGGAGAGTCTAGCAAATTAGATTTTCTCACAGTTATATATAACATGATAAGAGTTAATAACATATCCTATGTTATCAATTTGGTTATTGTATTTTGTAGGTAAATCTAGCTAAAGTTGTTTTTGATTTGCATTGTTATAAAAAATTATAAGTTTTCTATTAGTCAAGAAATTTAAAATTATGATACAATTTTTTAGAAAAATTTGTCTGAGTTATAAGAAGTCCAAGTTGGAGAGGGTTTACTGTATATGAATATATTAAACAATTTTACTAATATTTTATTTAATAATATATGAATAATGTATATTTATTTCAACATAAATTATTAAATAAAATATTTTATTTGTATTCATAAACAAAAGTTTAACAATTTATTGAAATTTAAAAGTTATTTGAAAATGAAGGAAAAGTTATTAATTTTTAATTGATTAATCAAAAGTTTTTTTTATCTGAAATATAATTTATTCATAAATTCTTAACATATTAAAAAATAATCAAGAATAGAAAATAAAATAATTAAAAAACAAGAGTTTAATTGTTTCAATATGTAATACAAAATATAAAAAATTTCTCTAATTAATTAAAAATCATTAATTATTATTTAACATATTATATTGATTCCTTTCTGTAGGGTACCTGGACCCTAATGGGGAGGTACCATTTGCTTCAAAGCCAAATATCTCTCAGCAGTTGGATTCTGTAGAAATATCCAATAGTTCTGTTCCTCGTTTGCCCTCTCATGATATGCTTGAACTAAATAAAATACCATCTAGCGAAAATCCAATGCTGCTTCCAGTGGATCGTCCACTACCACCTCCACCTCCTATGATGAAGTTTATGGATCCTCGTTTTCCTTTACCACCTTTGCCTCCATTTTTGCCACATCCACCTCCATTTAATGAACATTTGCCGCCACCAGCTCCACCATCTTATTTAGATCCATGGAGATTTCCACCACCACCTGTACCTCCAATGCATAGACATATGTCACCACCTGATTTTGATAGATCTCATTTATCAGCAACACCGCAAGACTCAATGTCACCACCACCATACGATAGAGAGATGGACAAGCATTCTATAACATCAAGAGACACTGTTGATCGTCATCTTCTTTCGGATAGATCTTCACCTCCAATGCTTCGTGATCCTAGTTCTCGAGATTCTCATAATTCATCACCTCCTCGTATGTTACCTCGATTTCATGACAATCCACCACCTAAACCATATGGTGGTTATCCTCCTCCACCACCAATTATGTCCTCACGTTTTCCATCATCATCTTTACGTAGAAGAGATCCACCAAATTTTCCCCCAAATGTGCCATTAGATCAAAGAGCAGGTGAGTAAAAATAATATATATTTATTTACATACATGTAGAATGATGCCAAACATGAAGTGTTTTTCATTCATTTCTTTAAAAACAATCTTAGTTCAATTATCTTCAGTTTGTTTCACAGTAACATGAAAATTCTGTAAAAATTATAATAAAGATATTGAACATAAATTAAATAGAAGAAATTAAAATTTTCTTCTAAATTTGTAATAAAAATTACATTTTATCATTTCCATTTAATTGAATATATAAATTTTTTTAAGTATAAAATATGAATTTAAATTTTGTATATTGAAAAGTTTAATCATTCTATTATTTTAAGTAAATTGCCATTTTAAAAAAGTTGATTTCATAAATTTGATTTTGTAGTAAAGAAATATGATTTTAAAATTTTATTGTGTATGAAAATTAGCTATATGTTAAGGCTACTTCTCAATGGAATCACACTATAAATTCAAGCACTTGTCATAGCATAGGACTTGTTTCTATACCCCCTTATCAAAGAAAGTTGCAGCCAGGAGCAGTTATTTACACCATATATCAGTTTCTCATTTGTGTGAAAATGCTGCAATATTAGATAAACTTTCATCTGTGGGAAAAGATGAAAATTGCTGTGGATGAGGTCTGGGTTCCTACAGTTGGTGTAGGAACAAGTCCCAATAAAACTGCAGTGGAAAGTGTTTTGTACAAGTAGCTGTGCATGTGTGCATGCATGCATTGTCATGCAGAAACACAACACTCAATATCAACATTTCGTTTTGTCTGAATAATTCTATACAACTTTTTCAGTTTCACAGTACATCTGTGAAGTTATCTTCCAGGCAGCAACTTTCTTTGATGATGAGATATAGAAACTCATCCCATTTTATGACAAGTGCCTGAATTTACAGGGTGATTACATCAAGAAGGAGCCTCAACATGTACACAATAAAGTTTTCTTCTTCTTTTATTTTTTATCTAACTGCTTAACAGAGGTTGATTTCTGAATTGATGACCTTGTATTTTAAATACCAAAGTCTGAGGTTGTTGTTTCAATTTTCATATAATAAATCTCTATTTTTCCTTTTTAATTGTATTAATAAAAATATTTACCTCAGTATTTTAATAACTTCAATGAAGTTTATTTAGATTATGTTTTAGATTTTCTAATTATTATTAAATATATATTGTAAAAAATTAGAATTGTAATGTTGTTTGATTCAAAATTTCTGCAACAATTGATTGTTGTTTTTTGAGTGTGTATACATGCTTTACATATGCATATGCCTTCTATGGAACAAGGTTGCATTGATTTTGACAAAATAATAAATTTTAATTGTACTAGCATATGTATTTTGAATAACTTTACTTAAAATTTAAGTTGTTATTAATTTCAAATAATCAAACCTTTCAGTAACTGTTTTGAAAGTTAATAAATAATGCAATTTAAATAATCTTGTTTATTTTAAATAAATTTTCAGTTATAAACATGAAAAATTTATTTCATTTGTTTTGGTTAAAATAAGAACAATCTTTTTTATAAGAAATTATTCAGATTTTACTTTTAACTAAAATTTGTTTTATTTTATATCATTTTTTTTTCATCAAATATATTTTGTCTTAATAGATTATTTACTGTTTAGCAAATGATTACAGTTTTATATATAAAACAGATTGTATAGGATATTTTTTACAATATCCTATACAAACAATTTATTTTATATACAGGGTGGACCAAAAGTAGGTGGAAAGTAAATGATAACATTTATTGAGATTACGTATACAATTATATATACTAATAAGAATACAATACAATACAATTTTATCAACGCAGGTGCTCAAACTGCTGTCCATCGCAATTTACACAGCTTTGAAGTCTATATTTCAACATTTCATGCTTCGACAAACATTTTTGCACAAGCTTCTTTGTGTATTAATTTCTTGAAATGTATCTCTGATGTAATTATTCAACCATAACCATAAACAAGTTAAATACACATTATTGTTATAGTATAATCCTAACACAAACCCTATTCTACCTAATGTCTGCCTACTTTTGGTTCACCCTGTATAATATTTTATACGAGGGCTATTTTTTAAATTAGGTCCATTTTTTAATACAAAGAAAAATACTATAAATATCATTAAAGTATATTTTTTCCTATATTCTACATACTTTTATCTACTTTTCTACATAATTTCCATTTTTGTTCAAGCATTTGTCATACCGCTCAAACATTTTTTTAACTACGACTTCAAAGAAATCTGCCGCCTGCCGCCGGAAGACATTAGGCCATACTGCTTGTCTTGTATGGCATGGCGGAGTTTCCTGAAGGTCACAATAAGCATCAGAATTGATTGTTGTATCTCTTAACATAAAATCAACTAGCAAAGTCCCTTTCCTGTCCCAAAAGACAGTTACCATGATCTTTTGTGCTGAAATCAAATAACAGATCGTATCTTACAGTCGGCGGGCGACTCAATTTTCTTAAACATTATAAACTTCTACAGTTCAACACACAGACAGACGATATGGCTGCAAGTGGCATCTAAATACGCGTAAAGCATGCTGAAAGCAGATGCTCATGCACACTGCTGCAATTGTGTGTCATTCTAACTCTCATTCACAAACGGACCTTATTTAAAAAATAGCCCTCATACAATATATAAAATAATGATGTGATTATTTACACAATATTATTTTATAACATCATCTTGCATACTGGAGATAGTAGCAATAGTTGTCAGTTTTGTGAGATGAATTTATAAGAGTGAGATAAGTAAATAATGTTTACTTATTCTTTATTCAATTTCATTTTTAAATAATAAGTTGAGTTACTTGCTTGAAATTATTGAAAAATATTAAAAATTATTTAAAGAATTAAATTGAAAATTATATTGTTATCATTACAATCATTATGCAATACCAAGAATCCCTCAAAAATTCTCAATGTTGCTTGCCTGGATTCACTCTTGCATCTCCAAAATAGTTGGATAATGACTTAACCATCTGTCATCCGGCTATCTAAATTTAGATATTAGACAAGTTTTGTAGAGAAATAGAAAATCAAGAATATAATAGACAAAAAAAATTATGATATAGAGAGTTAAGAAAAAATATATAATAATTTAAAATGTTAGATCAGAGTTTTGAACGTTTAGCAACTTCATAAATTTCATTAAGTTCACTTTTCAAGATGTATTCTATAAAATGTTGAATTAAGTACACTTAAATTTTAAGATCTATTTATTAAACTATTTTTAATATGTGAACAAACAACAAATATATAAATGTTAAGACTTTTTTCAGATTTAAGTGATGTTGTTTTCACTTTTATTGAATTGAAATGCTCATTATAAAATGAATGTTGAAAAGGCTTATAGCACTGGGAATGTTGTTTTAAAACATCAATTTTTAAATTTTTTCATTTACATATTCTTTGCTAAGTATTAGAGAATGTACTTAATAATGTATTTGTGTTTATTTTATTAGTAATTGCAGAAAAATTCTTTTTGTATAGATAAATTGACATTCTGATAGTTATCGTAGTATATTTGATTCCATTCTTCAATGAGATTTGTTTTCTTCAGTTATCACTGATGAGGGATTCAAAGTTCTAATGATCAGTCTGGCAATTGGTGCTCAAGACAAAACCTACAGCTTATTGCAAGCTATTTGAACCATTCTTGAACTAGATATATTTTGTATGATAGCATTTACATCTTGAAGTGGACTTGCTTTGTTGCATAATAAATTCACATCAATGTTTCTATAATTGGTAATAATGCAACTGTCAATGCCATCCAGAATGATAAAGGACATCATACTATGGAGTAGAAAAACAATTACACTGCTGCTACTTGCCATATTTTGAAAGATGCAAATAAAATCAATGTTTCAAAAGATACCATATTGGCATTTAATCATTAGTCATAGCATAAAATTTGATTCATAAAATTATATTACATATTTTCATTGATTATTGGAATTGTCCTATTGTTTATAGTACTGCTGAATGGATATATTCTTTACACACATAGATGAAAAGTTTCCAGATACAACACACATTTGTGAACCTGTTAATTGCAGCTCTCTGTATACGTTGACAATTGATTATGGGTTTTTCTCATTTGAAAATGTTGGTTATTTGCAGTAATGTGGCTTGTCTATTTTTACTTACAATTTACAATCCAAATACAACAGCATTTTGTCATTCAGCACTTTCATTCCTAACAACCACAATGATCCTTTGTATTTGTTTTCTTTTCCACATGTAGTTTTTATTTATGCTTGGCAATGTACAACAATAGTGATTGTTTTGCTGGATAGTAGAAGCTCTTTATTCATACATTTTGCATGTTTACAGTTTAGTATTTGAAACCATTCATATTTACAAGGGTAAAATTTGCTTATTTATGGAAAGTTAACAGAAATAATGAAACAATACATAAAAAGATATATAAATGATTTTTAATGCTTTTATCTTAAATAAGTTTTACTACAATTCTTGTTGTCTGTCAGATAGCATTATAATGCTATTTGTAATTCCTTGAATTATTATAGCATATGCATTTATCTGGATAGTAAAGATCCTGTTTTATATGAGTAGGCATTGTAAATGTCAGCATTATGTTTTACTTTCTTATTTTAGTTAGCGTTTCTTTTACATTTAAATACCAACAATGTCGCCTTAACAAAAAGACTTTAGTGGAAAAATCTCAAAATTGCAAAAGCAAGTGATGTTCCACAAAGACGAAATATGCTAGATTATTTGGAGGAAAAAGAATCAATATCAATGGTTGCTTGCATTTTTGTCATAAAAGGATCTACATCAGATACGTGAAGATAAAAAGATCTGAAATGCATTAGAATTTTTTCCCTTCGAGGAGCAAAAATTGTGAAGATTTTCAGAGATTCAACTATTAAAAAAACTTTAAACATCTGAACACAGAAGAATGTTTCTTTGAGTTGACCCTATTGTTTGTTTTTAGTACAAATACTACTAAAGATCAGTTATGTTTAAAATCATTTGA